ATGGGATCGAGAGCCAGAACCAGAGTTATTAAATCGGTTGGTGTGTATGCCAATTAGACCTCCTAAATAGACAATAACGGGAAGAAGAGTGGGCAGGTTTGCTGAGGTGATGCCTGCGGACATCTCGATGGCTGTCCATCCGACCGTAGGGGCGAGAGTATAGGTTGGGTCAAGATTGCTATACGTGAATAGAACGCTCGTGCGGTAGGCAGATGCGAAAACGACGCTTTTCAATCATATTCTATCAGTAACTTTCCTCACTCAAATGACAAATGAAAAAAATGTGCCTGGGGCTGGGATGAGACAACATACAAAAATCCAAGGCCAAATGACACTGTCAGACCAATCTTGGCTGTGCTTCTGAGCTGGAGCACCCAAATTTGCCGGATGGGTAGCAAGAGTATTAGCAAGTCTGTGAAGATGCTTGATGCTGCGTTGGCAATCCAGGTTCCTACTTGATCGATACAGCGCCCGGGGAGATCAGGGTACCAAAGTTTTTCAACCGGGACACAGATGAATATGAACAGGAATGTCACACAGATAACCCAGGCCATGATAAAAGACCCAACGATCCAGATCATCCGTTTAAAGAATGGGATGCGGAATACTCTGTAATACATGAGTAGAACAGCCAGCTTGGTCCAGCCCAGGTTCCAGGCGTAGAAAACTTCGGCGGCGACGAGCCACTTGGCCATAAGGACTATTTTGCTTGGGTTGACCAAGTCAGCATGGATGCCCATTCCCTGGGCGTTCATAGTAAAAGCACACCCCATGCAAACCATATACCAGGCCTGATCCTGAAGTTAGACGATAAGTGAAACCATTGGCAGATAAAAAAACGGTGCACTATACCATGGAAAACATGATCATCCAATCATCCCACCACAGGCTCTGTTTTGTCAGACGTCGAGCCGCGAGCCGGAGAACCACAGATAAGAAGGCCAGGAGAGTCACGGAGATTAACGTCCCCAATGTCCATGGCTGGATGTTGTATGGATGAAAGCCCGGCAATCCTGGAAGTTTGGATGTTGAGGGGTCTACATCTTCGCCCGCCATTTCAAGGAAATGCAGGGTGGGAACGATTTTCAGTCCAGATTCACTGACGGTTTGAACCTGCTCACACAAACTTCATTGCCCTGGTTCGCCGTCTTATACGTCCTTGGGGGGTTAACAATAAGAAACTCAAATTTGCTCCGGTTATCTTAGCACCGGAGTGTTTTACCATTCCCGGACTTTTAAGTGCCAACAACATATTTCTTGCTAGTGTTTTACTAGTGACGAACTCATTTCGGAGTCAGGAGTAAAAACTATCCCGCCAACAGTTCGTCCAAGCCCCGCCAACATTCTGTCCAAGCCAACGCGTTGAACTCTTTTGTCCAGCTCGTTCTATATTACCCCTTTGGGAATTACCTAATGACATAGAGATCACAGTGTATTTGGTAGCGTTAAACTCTCATTGAGTGACGTTTGCGACCTCGAAAAAATCAAGAAATAGACCTCGAAAAGCCTCAAAATTGAAGGTTTGAGAATGCGCAGCCTTCTTGTAGTAATATTTCTGCACAAGTCAGACTGCAGGCAAAAGAAAGAAAGAAAAAAGAAACAAAGGCCCAGTGTGGTGGCTTCGTCAAAATCTAGAGTGGGGGAAGTGCCATGACTGGAGAGGCAACCCGTTGGTAGTTGGTAGGTGAGACATTGCGACGACCAACTGACCAGAATGGGCTGACCTGGTGGACCTAAGACCAGAAGTCCCAAAGGCTGCGTCCAGCTGGATCGGATCTGGAGGCTCTGGGCCCCAGTTGGGTAATATTGGAAGCTATGGGAGACGTAATAAGGCAGCCAACAACCAACAGCCAACAGCCAACGCATCGCAACTGAGACCCATATCAGCATGCAATGGAACCCGGGCTACCAACGTCGCTGTATATAACCCGAATTGGACAGCGGCATGACTAGTGCTGCGCTGGTAATATTAGAAGCGAAGTGGCTAGAAGCTTCATGTACTAAGGGCAATGCCTCACTCCTACGCGAGAATCTGTTGGCAGACAATACACCCTCATGGTTTGATTGTGTATTAGTGTACGTCTAGCGGTTTCACGATTCCTATCCGAGTTATTGACGGTGGCTATAAGGATCCTTTAACGGTAGCGTTAGAATGGCCCATGGAACACTACCTGGAATGATTATCACAAGATACTCCACCGTAAGCTGCAGACAACAGACATGCAGCCGAGATGCAACGCTGCCCACTTTCATTACTAGCCAACAGCCTAACGCCGAGATGAATCAGGACTCTCACAGCCTTACTGCTAACAAGTTAAAAAGATGCGTGTGCTACGTACGTTATTTCAAAGTACCTACTCTCTTACCCCCCATTCTGAGTTTTCTTCCATGCTTTCTGCTTTACTCTCTTGTTTCCAAATACCTAAGCTATTTTACCCCCAAAAAACCGAGTCTTCTTCCATGCTTTCTGCTTTCCTCTCTTGATACCCTCAAATAGACAAAGTCCCTTTCACCATGGCTGCCGCTACTACTATCAAAGTTCCTCATTTGGGAGGAACCACTGCAGGCTACCGCTTGTCAGGTGGCGTCGTCGACCCAACAAAACCAACATTGGTACTAATCAACTCTATGTGCACTACATCCGCCCTCTTCGATTCCCAATTCAACAGCAAGGCTCTCACCGACGCCCTGAATCTCCTGGCGATTGAGCCCCTTGGCCATGGGGCGACAAGCTGCCCCTCCGAACACTTCACTTATTGGGATACCGCCGTTATGGCGCTCCAGGTCATGGATGTCCTGGGCATCAACCAGGCATTTGCCCTCGGTACCAGCCAGGGAGGGTGGATGGTCGTCCGTATGGCACTGCTCGCTCCAAAGAGGGTAAGTTCCCAGCCGTTCTCTCATGAAACATGCGCCTTTTCAGTTTAGTTTGGTGACCGAGACTTGTTGACACGTCCAACGCCACCTTAGATACTCGGCCTCCTACCCTTGGGTACATCCATGGACTATGAGTCGGCTGCCTCACGTGAAAAGGGATGTTGGGATCCCAAGACGTCACTCCAAGGCTTCATTGATTCTTGGACGAGTGCTGAGCCCACTCCTGATTTCGTAGTCAATGAGGCTTTAGCACAGAGCGTTTCAATGCTCGGATTCTCCGGAACTGCCAGCCCTGAGACATTGGCTTTTTGGGATGAGACAATCAAAAGAGTGTATAGTGGTGATAACGGCCGAAAGAAGGTCCGCATGGCCACTCTTAATCTCTGCCACCGTGATGGGCTCCTCACGCGTCTTGGAGATGTCAAATGCCCCGTGTATTGGCTTCAGGTGAATCTTTTTCCAACCCAATTTTAACGCAATCACATCTCTGGTCGAAGACTAACTCGCTTTTAGGGCCCCGAGGACCCAGTGTATGGCAAGATCGTTCCAAACGAGCATATCAAGCTATTCACATCCTCGCCTGAGGCTACGATAACTTTTGTTGAAGGTGGCGGCCACTTCCTGAATGCAACAAGCCCCAAAGAGACTGAGGAGGCTATTCTGAAGATGATTAAAAAGTATTCACCAGGCAAAATTATGCCTAGTCTTTAGCATAAACCGCACCCCATCTAGCAAGTTGATTTAGTGATTACTCAGTGTACAACCATTCAAACTTATATAGCAATTCCCGATTCCAGCTGCGAACCATTCTTCATATCGTCTTTTCCCTTGTTTAAAAAGAATTGACTGTTCATCTTGTTTAGTTATTAACTGTTTGGCTGTATTGTCCACTATGATGTAGAAAACTTGAGAAAGAATACTTATATCAAGCCCTACCCAGATCTTATAGTTTTTAGTCACCTCATTCACTTGACTTAGCTTCAATACATTCACGAAGAGCAATCACATGGCTAATCAGACCCCGGGCTTTTGTCTAGGATAGCATACAATTATGACGAGTCACGTTTCTTTTTCCTATGACGTGAGGGCGAATGAAGCCTCATTTCCAGGGGTTCCACAAGGAGGAGATGCGACATGGTTATCCCCCCCACATCTATTCCTACATTACGTTGAGACAAATTCGTCGACCAAGGTCAGGAGCCGTAGCAATGAGCTCAACATGCCAAGATCGTATTATGCGCGCGCCCGCACACCACGTTAAAGCAACGCTCGCATTTCTGTGTAAAGATAGCGAGGTGAAGGAAGCCGCCCTTGCGCATCTCGACGCGCTGGCCAAAATGGACAAGGCCGCGGCCGAAGCACCCGGCAACAAGCGAAAGGCCGCTGGGGAGTTGGCCGTCTGTGTCCAATGTGAAACCCCCTTTTACAAGGACGAGAATCACCCTGGCGCTTGCTCGTACCACTCAGGTTGGTCCAACGTGCTTTACCTCTTGCTCCTCCTTTCTCCCGTGTATGTGATTTCTGGCGGTCTAGAACATATGGCTGACCTGAGTAGGTGAGATGGAAGTGGATGATGACAACGACTTTTGGGCGGACCACGATGAGAATATTCATGGCACTATTGACTCTGACTGGGCGCGAAAGGAATACCCCGAGGGCTTCACATGGTCATGTTGCGAGAAGAATGCTGATGGGGCTCCTGGCTGCACAACGGGTCGCCACGAGGCTGATCCACAGAAGGCGTGGAAAGACGGCAGTGAAGACGAGGAGGCTTAAATATATGGGTGAGACGTGTGGCCAAGGGCAAAAAGTTGGATCGCGTCATGGGATACGCCTGTCAATGGTGCTGATTTATTAGCTCTACTCTCAGTTATTATAGCTACTCATCTTGTACTTGAAGAGTGTATTCAACGTAGAGCACCAGCATCGAACATGTGACTATTTCTTGAACGATCCAAATAGATAAGGTAGGGATGATCTGAACATCTTGTCACCATGATGAATTGATAAATCTAGAAGGAGCTCCTGCTTGATCTCCAAGGGCAGGATAAAGCATCACTATTCATGCTGTCTGCCATTTTTTTCATTTATTCGACTTAGCTTTGGAGTTTTCAAATCTAATTTTAGTCCACATGCGTGTACAAAAGCTCACCAAAGTCCGTTTGCATCTCGGGGAAGCAGTCAAGCATCGACATGGAGTCTGGATTCTGGTTGCCCAGATATGAGCTCCCGGAAAAGTCCATAGACATGTCCGGCCCAAGGTAGGGAAATGCGGGAATGTAGCTATTCGCGGTAGCGGCGCTGATGTGGAAATTCACTTCTGCCACGCCTTGAGACTGAGAGTGGCCCGAGAGGCTCAAGTTACTGCTAGATGGGTATCGATTAAGTCCCTTGACGATAATCTGCAGGCTCCGTTCTAAGAGCGGGCAGGTTTTCATGCCCGCGTTGAGCGCACGGAGATATGTTTTCAGCGTTTGGCTTGCAGGTCCTTTATTGCGTTTGGCATCTTCCAAGATGGCAGATGCGCCAGTGTAGATGCAGTAACCCATGAGGTAGGTGATGTTCTCCAGCCCAAACGTTGACTCGAGCAAGAGTACAAGTGCCTCAATGTTTTGTGATGCACTGATGCAAACCTTGTAGTAGGATGGGATAGACCAAAATGGTCGGTGAGCCAATATTATAGTCGTAAAGTAGAGAAGGCTGTTTGTTCAGATGAGTGACATCCAACGCAGAAATAATGACCCTGGAAAATTCTTACTTTTGGGATATAATATGTGGTGGCGGACAGATGGTTGGAAGATTATCAGGGTTGTACTTAAGGTGGCGCGGCGAGTTTTCTCGCCAGGAATCGAGACGTGACTTGATATCCTTGATGGTTTCTTCGGTATTGGTTCGATTCCGCCGATAGTAAAGCTGAACTATGATGTCGTGGATAATCATGGAAAGCTTACAGGAGTTGACGAAGGTCGATACGGCGTAGTTACGCATGGGCGGATATTGATTTTGTGTAAACTTGGTGAGATTAAGAGAGTTCCCATAATATGGCGACCATATATCTAGATCGGTGGAATCGTCCACTGAGGAAGCAGTTAGCTAGAGGGAGTCAAGCAAGAAGCACGATACATACGGAGCTCGAGAGTGTTTGGATGGAGTACTTCAGTGACAGCAGGCAACCGACCGGCATACAAACTGGTAGCTCTGGTGATGATGGTCAGCTTGGACAAGACAACGTTCAAGCAAGTACGGCAGACACTTACTTGTCCCAAAAATAACAACTCCAAAAGAGCCTGCGCCGGACTTCCAGATCAATTGCCCCCATGCCTCTGAGATCCGGTCCGCTATGTTGAAGCCCCAGGTCGCTTGCCATGCGAAAGGCGATACCACTATACACCCAAGCTCTGGAAATAGATCCCTGCGCAAGGTCTCTGGCACTTAGCTGCAGGAGGGCCTGCACCGTAGGGATCGAGCTCGGCTCCTGAATTGCGTTACCCAGGAGGCGGCGAGCCCGGGCAAGCAGCATGTCGGCGTATTCGCCATCCTGATATTTCGCGGCGTGTGAGCAGATGACGGTCAGGAGGAACTCGGAATAGTAACGCCCTCCGGTGGCCATATCTCCTACCCACGGATACGCATCGTTAGCAAACTACACAAACGACATCTCCCTTGCGGCGTCTTCCCGAGATCAATCACTTACTCACAAATGCCGGCCGGTATACCCAAGTAAACATGGGAGAGACCCAGGCCCAGTGTACGTGGAGTAGTTTTGCCAGCACCGAACGAGGGATGCCGGTCTCTAACGAGGCATTCCCTAAAGCGAAGTCCTCCCAAGTGGCAGATTCCCTGGCAAACGCGGCCACGGCAGATCGCGCATCGGCCTTGGAGGTCACGCTCGCATTTGTAGCTGATGTGGCTAGCGATAGTGGTGAGTCTAGTTGCGGCGGATCGTGGACGGCAGAGGTTGGGCCGTAGTAACAGATTTCGCCGTGCTCGTCGACACTGACGTCTGTCAATGTTGAGTCTTGAGGCATGGCCTGGGCATCGCGGGCTGCTGGCGTTTGCTTCATGTGGCTTGTAGTTCCTCTGGAAGACTGCAAAGCCGTGTTGCCAACGCCCGTGTCCAAAGGAGAGGGATGGTGCGTCGAGTTTGTTGCAGGCGGGTGAGCCGGGCTCAAATGTTCGACTGTCCCTGTTGTAGAATGAGCTGGAATGACGACCGGCCGGAACCCTTGGTCTGTGGTCGCGCCGCCGCTTTCGGATGCTGGGGTTGATTCTCTGCCGGAGCGCATATCCGCCAGCTGCTTCTCGGCCTCTTGGAGTCGCTGGGCCATGGCAAGGAGCTGAGAGAGTGGCGGAGCCTTGTCGTAGCGGCACTCGTCGCCGTAAGCCTGGCATGTTTTGCAGGTTGGCTGGCTCCCTTCACAACGAACCTAAACAGAGTAAGCCAGCGTCAGCCGAAATTCATCAAGTTGTCGCGAGTGGTTCTGCGTTTCTTCTGCCCACGTACCTTTCTTGTGCGGCAGTTCGCACAAGTCAGACCCCTGAATCTGCGCCTCGCGTTGGGCCTTGCGGTTTTACCACCCGTACTTGTTCTTGGCTGCCTCGGCGACAACGGATCCGTGTTCGTTTGGTCATTCATCGTTTGATATCAAGTTGTTTAATGGTAGATGGAATTGGCGAAACGCCGGCCAGTGGACAGGGTGAGTAGAAGGGAAATCTCGCGAGGGCTAGCAAAGCCACCACATTGGATGAGCAGTTGGGGAATCCCCATCTTCTGCTAGATGCGGAGGCCATCGGCGACCGTCTCCGCTTGCGAGGGGAAGATTTCATGTTTGTTCATTGGTTCAGAACGTTACGACTTTGATATTGGGTGCAGGTAGGCGGGGAATCGTTGACATAAACGAACCCGATAGGACAAGAACCTGCCTTGTGCAATTCCACTTGCCGAGTCATGCTGCAAAATAGGTTCCCTCATGGACTAGAGCAGTTAGGTCTTGGCTACATTTTCTAGTAGGCCTTGCTCGCGGTTACGTCGATACTACACACTCCATGTTCGTGACTCCACCTTTCGGCCAGTTGCCGCGGCCAAAACCCGAAAGCCATACCGAATCCAGAAGAGGAGGGAGGGTCGTGAAATGTACCCTCGGATAGGCACTGAGGCTGGCTAAACGGCACCGTGCCATCTTGCCCTTGTGGGGACAGATAATTGTTGCCAATGGTGAGTGAATATGAGCTGTGGATGCAGCTATATGTCTCATTGTTCTGTCAAGTCAAGATTATCCAGGCTTGAGTCTTCCCTATTCCTATTCAACTGTATATTCACAACCACCTCTTCTATCCAGAAATGAGATTGCCATACGTATCTCCGTCATCATTCGAGGCCGACTCGGAGGCCCAACAAGTCGCTGCTCGCATTGAACAACGCCGCAACCCGCGCCCTTTGCAGCCTCTTGACCTCACTCTACTACATTCTCCCCCCGTTGCAGATGGTTGGAACTCGTTTATTGGAAACATCCGCTCCAAGACATTGATATCAGATGACATTCGCGAGCTTGCAATCTCACGTGTTGCCGTCCTCAATCGTGCTTGGTACGAGTGGATGCACCACGCGCCCTTGGCTATCAAGGCCGGTATCCCTAAAGAGGCCATGGAAGCCCTCAAGTCTGACACACTCTCACAACGGAGTGGGCGTCCGAGTTATTTTACCGAGAAGCAATGGGCTGTCGTTGTGTTGACTGATGAGATGACCAGAAATGTCCAAGTTAAGGATGAGACTATGGAATGGATCAAGGGCCTAATGTCAGATAGGGACTTGGTTGAGACTGTGTCCGTTGTGAGTTGCATATATCCTCATTTTGCCAATGGCAACATTATCTTCGACTGAACAAACACAGGTATCAAGCTACAATTGCGTCAGCCGGTTTTTGGTGGCTCTAGATGGTTCGTACATGTCCTTCACCGTCCTGAAGACAAAATCTGACAGTCATTTACCAGTGGGAGAGAGAAATAACACTACACCAGAGTCAATTTCCTTGGATTGAGGGGCCAGTAGAGTCTTCCATATCGGCATCTTCTTCTTGTCTCTTGTCATTAAAGTCACTATTGGGTATTGGGTTTAACCCAAGTCCTCTGGCGGCTATGATTATAACATTGCCCAAGGCGATTGATTACTCAACGGGCGACGCGAAATAGAGACCGAGCCAAACATGATAAATAGTAAAAGAGTGTCAAAAGAAAACTTTACATATCAATCTAAACCGTCAGCTACAATTCCACTTAGTGCAGTAAGCTGTACAAAGAAACATTTTCGCGTCATAATTTCATGTCGGTCCTATTGCATTGTATCAAGTCCTCTATGGTCAACTTTCTTGGAAGCCCCTTCTAAGTCACATTGTTATCTTAAAGGCTAGCTATTGAGCTTGATTTTTGACCATAGAGCAATTCTTTCTTTTGACCAAGATCTATTTATCGACTTTGTTTCTCAATCTTGTGTATGATGGTTTTTAGCAAGCCGCTGTATCTCATGGCCGTTAGACGCAAAGTCAATATGACACATCGTTCCCTCAAGCTCTCACGGCGAAAGCCTTGTAACCACTCTGTAAAACTAAGTCTACCGAGATAACCAAAAGTCAAACCATGATATGATGCTCGAAAGACTTTCTTCCTTTACCCATCCTACAAACATATATCAGTGACAAGAACATCCAAGATAGGCTGGATGCACACTTACGCTGGTAGGGATCATCTGGATCCCCGCGCAGAGCAAAGCCATGCTCGACGCCAGAAAAGAGCTGATAATTGAATGTCTTTTTCCGTTCCTGGAGGATTTGGAGTGCTTTTCTCCTCGAGGGGCCGTCAAATGTATGATCTATCTCCGAGCATGACAAGAAGAGCGGTTCTAGACAACATGGCTCATTAATATTGAGCTAACTTCAGCGTTTTGGGGGGTGACTTGCTTTGAATATTCTCAAAATGATGCTCCTTAAGGAAGGCAGGGTGGGCAAAAGCGCCAACGGTAACTGTATCTTTGGCAAGTTCATCACATACGTAAGGGGCACCGAAACAATATCCAACGCAGGCAAATTTCGTATTGCCACCACCATAGCGCTCTTTGACTACTTTTACCCAGTTCGGCACAGCTTTATCAGCAAACGTGGTGTGTTTGACCTTCCAGGCCTCATAGTCGAAGTCTGGATTACTGTTATCATGCCGGTTTTTCCGATGCTTCCAGACTGGATCCTGGTACCACGTCAGCACGTAAATAATATATCAGGGGTAAGAGTACCAACACCGCAGAAGTAATCCAGGCCTAGAACAAGATAGCCTGCATCGGCAAAAGCATCCATGACGAGGAACCCATTCGGGAACATTCCCCAAACGTCAGGAAAGTACAAAAGCACGTGGCCATTTGCTTTGTCTTGAGGGGGCTCTGAAATATATGTCTCGACACCAGTGATGGTCTCCCATCTTCCCCGGGCCTCGCCTTTATGAATGGTACCTTTCAGACAGCAAGGACCGCTAGGTTTGGCTAAATATGAATCGCTGGTGTCCGTCGTCGATTTGCGTTCGACGACTACCTTCCGTCTGGATTTCTTGAACAGCGAAGAAGCCTGACCCATCGTGATTTTTGGACCCAGTAAGTTTGTTGGTATTCTCAAGAAACTAAGTTAAAAGTAAATTTAGGAATTTGGAGCGAAGTTACAATGCTCATGCTTAAAGGTCTGTAGTTGTGTAAATGTTGTGTCCATGTTCGACCTAGGCCGCGCTTCCCAGGAGCAGGAGGAAACAACTGGGCCAAAGGCGAGATTCCGATGGCGAGTACGTCAAATTTCCAGTGCGCACTTTTGCCGCGGCAAGTCTCCGCGGAAGATAACCTCGTCCCAACTCGTTGGAACACACCAATAATCACATAGAGGAGCTAGTTGGATTTGCGGGGTCCCCACACGTTAACCCATGCAAGAATTGCAGTTCCCAGAACTTGCAGCGTACCATTCATAAAGATTCAAAAGAAATCATGTGAGAACGTAAGAATTTATGTTGCACCTTCAGTGTCCATTCTTTCTCGACAATAGTCGGACGTCCGTTGAATCCTCCCTTCCGACACACAACAAGAGTCGCCTCTCCTGCTGCAGCCAAAAACGACTGGGCAGTTCAACACTATGACAGACCTCGAGAAACCAACCCAAATTATGACCGAAGACACTGCCGCTGTCAAGGGCGATGCCATCGGCTTTTCTGAACAAGAAAATGCTGTGGGATACAAAGAATATCGCGAGGCATTGAGCATCGAGGTGTCTGACAAGGAGGTATATTGTCTGCAACATGTCTCGTCATATCTGGGCTAACTGTCTCGACCATAGATGCGCAGAGTCCGATGGAAGCTCGACTTGACAATACTTCCCATGTTTCTCATCACACAAGCATTGCAGTTCATGGATAAGACATCGCTCAACTATGCCAACTTGTTTGGGTACCAGAAGGCTCTCAACCTTCAGGGCAAAGAGTTCAGCTATCTCTCTGCAAGTACGTACTCACTGCCAACCTTTAATCAATATGTGCTAGTCTCATGCGTGACGAGCTAACTCACATATAGTGGTGTATGCTGGATACTTCTTTGGGCAGTACCCCTGTGGTTGGCTCATTGGACGCTATCCTGCGCAGAAGGTCATGGCGATTAGTATCTTTCTATGGGGTTTAATGGTCATCATAATGACCCAGAGCCGAACATATTCCAGTGCATGTAAGTTGAGCAACAAATGAAGATCCATTCGCAACTACAGAGCTAACAATCAAGATAGTGGCCGTTAGATGTATGTCGTCGCAACTATTCAACGCTGGACAAGATCCGTATCTAATTCGAATATTGTAGTTTTCATGGGTATTTTCGAGGCAGCAGTCACACCGTGAGACCCTCCCCCTCAGATCTAACCGTACAACCCACTAACCATGCTTGCAGAGGCCTGACGCTTATGACTGGATTCTGGTACACTCGACGTGAGATCCCGCTCCGCCAGTGTATTTGGTAGTGAGTATTTACCCCCAACTGCTGAATAATTGTATTATACTAATTTTTGTTACAAGTTCTTCTCTTGGTTGGGGCGGTATCGTGAGTCAAATCACTATGTCAAACCTGCTCTGTGGACATACATTGACAAGTCCTCACTAGGTTGGCTCCTACATCTCTATGGGTGTTTCTCGGTTGCCAGTCGATATTAAGCCCGAACGCTGGGAGCTCATCTTCTATATTGTACGCTCTCTGTGCCATTTCTGAGGCGAATATCACTGACAAATATATCGTCTAAAAACAGCTTGGTGGCGTCACCTGCCTGTGGGCATTTGTTATATGGTTCCTCCTTCCCGACTCACCTTCTAACGCGCGGTTTCTAAACCACCGTGAACGTCTGATCGCTGTCAAGCGTGTTTCTGCAAACGAAACCGGCATAAAGAACAAATCATTCGACAAGAAACAAGTTTTCAAAGGATTTCTCGATCCCAAAACTCTTCTGCTCTTCACGAGTGTATTTGCCGCGGCTATACCTAACGGAGTTGTCAATTCTTTCTCCACTGTCATCATCCGTGATATGGGGTTCGACACCACCATGACTACGCAGCTCAAGTCAGTTGGCGACGCCGTACAGATCGTCGCATTGATCATCGGGGGGACTATTATCTTAAATGTCCCTAACTGTGAATGAACCCGTGCCGTCTGTTTGTCCTTAAAGAGATAAAACTAACTCGAGCATTCCAGCACGTTTGATCACCGCTTCTGTCGCCAATATTCTATGTACAGTCTCTGCAGCCTGCATGGCGTTCCTGCCCTCTTCCAATACTTGGGGCAGACTTGTATGCTTCTGGCTCGTCAACTCTCAATCCGTGGGATTCACTGTATCACTTACAACCATCTCATCTAATATGGCCGGCTATACCCATCGCTCCCTCGCAAGCGCTGTGGTTTTGTGAGTGCTCTTTCCACAGATATCTGATGAAAGAAATCTAACCAAGCTCATTGTTAGTACCGCATACTGCTGGGGCAATTTTGCCGGCCCATTCGTTGTTGACCCGGCCCAAGCACCTCATTTTACGGGAGCTACTATTGGACTGTTGGTCGGATATAGTATCAAATTTGTTTGCCACCTCCTTCTTCTAGGTACGTCTGCTATGAATCTATGGGATAGGTTTGCTTAAACTAATCTGATATCGTATAGTCTACATGTTTACAGTCAACAAGCGCCGGGATCGAAAGTACGGGGAAGCAAACAAGGCGGCCAGTGACGAATGTGGAATGAGAGACATGACTGAGTTCGAAAACAAGGACTTCCGCTACGTGCTCTAACTCCATAGAAATACCAACTTTCAGTTTTGGATGATAACAACCAAAGTTTCTTCCATCTCTTAGGGTTGTTGATTGGAAACTGGTTGTGGCTAGCACGCTTGTCGTTGGTTCTCTTTCTATGCTCGAAGCTCGTATCGTTAGTACCAATGGTGAAGCATGTTTCGATAGTCTACTAGGTGCACTTGGTCAGAGGCAAGGCACTACATAAGCAGCAACTACAAATATGGCAACTGTCTTGCATCCCATCGGTCTCCACTCGTGGATGTTTAAGCCAGGGGCTACGCTGAGAATGGTTATCTCACACACCGTCCTCTTACAGAATGATGAGACTACTGTTACTTGTCAGATTTGATTCAATTTATGTATCTACCTCAGCTAGCACACAGAACTCAACAGACACCATTTTACCCAGCCTGTTTTAAAAGCACTCGGTACAGAGCCGTTCGCAGGCTTCTGCAACTGATAAGAAATTCCACTCAATTAACGAGGGTGATCGATTAGTCTTTAAAATAGGATTTATCAGATCTAATAAAACGACACAATGCAACATAAGGTCATATACAATAATCCAAATGAAGGAGTGTTCTGGGAATATCTGAAACGCAATCCGAGGGGAATGGCCGTGGCAAGTATCCGAATTGACTCTCACGTAGCATTCGGACGGATTTTGGCCGAGATCTACATCTAATTGATGGAAAGCAGTAGGATCCTACGTGCAATGCCAAAATATGACCAGCTTCCCCGCTTACTACCACAAGTGTCGTCGTCTCCATGGGGTTTTCAACGGGGCTCCGTATTGAACTAACCGTGCAAGTGCGAGGACGTTGATCTGTGACAGGGATATTTTGCTTGAGTGGCAGCATGAAGCATATGGTTGTCTATTCAAAGTGAATTTTGTTTATGTATGAAGATTCCCTGGGGCTGTCGTATGCTCCATGGTCAGGGTGATATTTATAAAAGGCCACCGTCCTCCTCCGAATCTCTCAAAAGGCGTCAACAGGTCAAACTAAACAAAACAAAACAAAACCACCTCGTTGATAACCATGGCCACCAAGGCATTAGCAACTTGGGCACTAGCCCTCCAGTTCAGCAATCTCACCGCACCTGTCATTGAGATCGCTGTCAACAGCGTCTCCAACTGGGCTGGGTGCGCAATTGCTGGCTATGAGCAGCCGGCCTCTGTTCACGCAATGGATGCAGTTTTGCCATTCGTGGTCCCTCAGGGAAACTCGACTATCCTGGGAACAGACTTGTCTGTGGATGCGCAAACGGCGGCTTTCATAAATGGAATTGCGTCCCACGCAGACGACTACGACGACACGCATAGAGACAACCCGATCCATCCCTCCGGCCCTGTTATGTCAGCTCTTTTGGCCGTTGCAGAGTGGAAGGGCTCAATTACTGGAGAGGAATTCCTAGCTGCCTTCGTGGCTGGCGTCGAGGCCGAATGTAAGATTGGTGTGGCTGTCTTTCCCGAGCATTACAACGTCGGTTGGCGTGAGTACATCCCCCGCTTTCAAAAACTTTCTAGATAGCCTACTCACTTTTCTCTTAGACATTACCAGCACTGTGGGCACTGTTGGAGCTGCTGTTGCGGTAGGTAAAATCCTCGGCCTTGACGTGGCACAACTCCAACAGGCCATCAGCATCGCCTCTGTGCAAGTTATCGGCATGCATGAATCCTTCGGTACAGAGACGAAGCCATTCCACGTAGGTCGAGCGGCCCAGGCAGGCCTGATGTCGGCAGTATTAGCCAAGGCCGGCCTTACTGGCTCGTTAGAAGGTCTGGAAGCAGAGCGAGGGTGGTCCCATGTTGTCAGCACAAGGGAGAACCTGACAGCAGAAATCGACACTCTTGGCAGCGTCTGGGAAATCTCCCTAAACACCTTCAAGCCGTTCCCGTGCGACCGTATCATGCATGCTGCCATCGATGGCTGGATCCAAATTCACGACCAAGCAGTTCAGAAGCACCTAGACGTCACGAAGATCACCAACGTAACAGCACGCTGTCATCCTCGGGTCCTGTTCCTCACAGACGATCCGGAGCCCACGACCGGGCTAGCGGGGAAGTTCAGCGTGTACCATGCGGCTGCCGTCTCCTTGCTCTTCGGCCAGGCAACCCCGACTCAGTTCACAGATGAAGCTGTCCAGAATTCCACTGTGGTAGCGCTGCGTGAAAAGGTGAAAGTGACAAGCGACGACGCCGTTGAGGAGCATGAGTCATTTGTTGCTGCCGAGTTCGAAGACGGTACCAAATTGGAAGTTCACGTGGAGCATGCATTGGGAAGCTATGAGAATCCGCTCACCACGGAGCAGTTGAAGGAGAAGTTCTTGGGTCAGGTTGGCAGAGTAATTGGCGAGGACCGAGCTACAAAAGCCTATCAATCCTTTTCCAATATTGTTAAGTCCACTGATGTTGCCGATTTAGTCAAGGAATACAAGGATTGAGAGCATGGGATTCCCTTGTTCAGCTGAGGGTTTAACCATCTATGGCCTCAGTATACGGCATGTCTTGTACTTCACAAGTGGCTAAAGACACGGATAGCTAGCTTCAACGACGGTATTACACTCAATGCAAGTTTATTAGCTTTTATAGAGACAGTAAATGAAGAACAAGACTGCTTTTCCATCAGATGAAATAAGAAAAGTCCCACGGCAGCTCAAAGGGTTTAATGAAGGTCTAGATAGTAAATGATACTCCAAAGGCGGCAAGGCAGTAACCACATAGAAGTCTAGCATAATTTCACGTTGTTTGTTTTAATCCGCCCCATGTTCACTCAAAAGCTTCATCAAGTCATTTATCCTAAATATAAATTGAGGGGAGTGGAGGCCTTTGACCAACTCTTTCCATTTCTTAATCTTTTGGAGCGATGAAAGCGTATCGATACTCCTGGTGAGAGTTTGAGTATAAAGTAAGAAGACAAACAATAGAAGACGCCAGACCAGACATCTAAACACGATCAACTAGTGTATCGATACCAATCACGGTTAGTAACTACCGAGTTTGCACACTATATACAACACCTGGCCAGCACGGTTGGTATATCTGCCTAGGTCTTAGCTGGCACTAAATGCAAGGCACAATGTTTATAGGTGTAGTTTCCTTGATCTGAAAGAGTCACATTCTTATCTTGCTATCTCTATCGACGAAAATCCCTTTAGGAACCCCAAATAGCACGACTCAACAGGACAACGTGGACACATGCAAGAGTCTAGTCCAGCCAAACAGCCTCATACGGGCTCGCATTGTCAGGATATTGCAATGAGGCCACTTCCGAAATGGTGTTACTTGACGGGGTCCAGCCGAGAATGTACATATACCCCTTGGATGTGTCACTGAGGTACATGTAATTGGTTAGGCCCTTGGGATTTGAGTTTGTCTCATCCTCCCAGAAAGCAACTCTGAGTCCCGCGGCGGACCCGAGGGTAAGCGGTGCCTTGTAGTAAGTCAGAGCCTGCTCTTTCTTCAGGTAGCCTTTTTTGTCCAACTGAAAGGCCGCAACCCATCCATTGGCTTCGGTATTGTTCCAACCGCGGGTGCTAGTAAACAGATACTGGCCATCGCGAGATTGTTGCACCGTGTTGCTTCTGTAGGTGAATTTCCCCCGCATATCTAGAGTTTAGATATCAAAAGCTGTTCAAAGAATGGGGGGGAGGTTTGCCAAAGATTGGATTTACCTAGGGGAATAGCGCTACCACGTTGGACATGTTTCAGTCGGTTCTTCTGAATCTCATACACATCAAGCCATTGAGCTGGGCACCAGGGTCAGTATCGTGACGGTAATTGTTTTGGTGGAACTAAACTCACTGTGCTCGGTGATCTAGGTGCATTATTTGTTAGCATGATATCCCGTTTAACCATAGACGTTAGATGCTCACAACGTAAAGGAGCTTGCCATCTTTGCTGGGGAATGAGTTTCGGGGCCCATCGCCCTCAGTAGGGCTAAGATTAATCGATTCAAGTTTTGCCGTGCCATTATCAGCAATATCGTACATAAAGATAGAGTTCCATGCGCTAAAATTGATCAATTAGGCGTTCGCGAATTGTGATGAGGAGACATACAGATGAGGGACGAAACCCTTTTTGTTAACATTCACATCAAATCCGTGAGCGCCGTAGAGCTGTCTTAGGATTAATATCATCGCTTTGGCTTTGAATGCAACATGTTTCACGAACTCACCACGCTGTTACGCGTCTTGTCGACGTTTGGCACTTCTTGTTCTGGAACGTAGAGCATCTCATAGACCTGGTCGGCAATGCTTCCATCTTCATCGAGTTTATGGATACGAGCTGTAGGCCCACCGGCACTAAAGGCGTACTGTCCGTCATCCGAGAAATAGCATGATGACGAAGCTAAAATAGTTAATCCGTTTGCAGCAAGCAGACTGGCGGGTTGGGTCCCGTTACGTACTGACATTCACCGTGTTCAGGTGCTCAAACTTGTAATTTTCGTCGACGGACCATGAAAATAACTGAGGCGGCTCGCTCATAGCTGTCGCGTAAATGCGGTCTCGTGCAGCGTTCGTTGTGACATATTGGTGAAGACCGAACCCGGGAACAGTGTTGTTCAAAGTGAGAGTCTTAGCCACCGTGTCAAACGCAAGCAAGAACAATGTGCGGTTTGTGTAAGAGCCACTCAGCAAATGGTGGACAGAGCCACCGGAAGTTCGTGTTTGAATTGAGGGCATGATGAGATCAATGTCAATGTTGTGGGACGTGGAAATAGTTTAGCTCACACTTTGGAATGCCGAATCTGGGGGAAAGTCAAAGCCAAGTCCTAAAGTTTAGCACGCTGATATAGATTATTCCACCCGACATACAATTCCACGGCGTACAGGCGGAATTTGAGCGCGGCTTATGTCCGATAGGCAGGACCATGAGAGCCTAGTTGATTTGGTGGAAGCATGTCTATCAAAACTCTTGTGGACTGGGTTCATTACGACGACCATCATCTCCATACCCCGCATGCAAATACCTGCCCGCGGGGCTCCGCGTTTCCATGACCCATAATGGTGAGTATGGGGTCAGAGACAGCAGCATGATGGGTTAGTTCAAGTTCACGGCTAGGATTAAGCTGTTGATGACTTAACGTTGAAGGAATTTTACAAAAGTCGTCTAGCGGACTCTTACGTGACCGCCTGTACTACAATTTATAGCCATAGAGCGGGGTTTCTAGTATTGGTGCAACTTCCGTAGACCGGTTTCTCCAATATCTCATGTCGGACATCTCGAGGTCACTGCCCCTTGTTCTGAATACCCATTCTCCAATGCGACAAATCCATTAGCGAAATACCTCTCTGACAAAGGACCCCTCTATTCACATGGATCTATGCTGGAGCTGCTGTGGAGAGTGTTGGTGGATAATCGGCGAAAGGCCGCGGTCTCATCCCGTATTACGCATCTGGGCCAGATACTTCCACCCACAGACTTGGCAACTGTATCCCCCGGCACCCTTGGCTGTAGGGAGAAGTTTCGTTTCGCCTTTGGCCCAGCTCTATTGATTTGGGCTGTCGCAGCCACACCATGGCCGAGAAGGTTTTCCCCACTCTGAGCGCCAGGCTGTTCTCATCTTGTAGAATCAAAAAATTGGACAATTTTGCAGTGGGCGTGAAACTCTTCTCCAGCTGCATTATGTACATTATCCTAGTACAGAAAAGGACATAGCGTGTTGGATGGCTGGTTTACAACGTATGAAAATCCGATGCCCTCGAAACCCTTCAGATTCATAATCTTATGAGTAGACGTATATGTGACATCGGCATCGAAATACACCCTAGTAGGAACACTAGCGCTATCAATTATGCCATTCTTCAGAATCCTAACAACCACAACGAACAGCTCACTTCACTCTCGGATACAGATCAGCCTTGACATCTTCACCAAACCCGGCGGGGATATTTGAAGTAATTCAGTTTTTCTTCTAACATAGAGGGATAATCTGAGGCTATTACAGCTACTGTCACATTAAATGCAGATAGTACGTAAGAACAATAGCCTGCGAACAATATATGGGGAGATCCTTTTTTTTGGTATATATAATCTACAGTGTCTAGTTCGAAATACTCGTGTTCTTCGCTGCCAAATCATCTGCCTTCAAAGCGGGCCTATCAGCCTTACCGGCAGTCGTCTACTAAGCGATTAGCATTTCCGTCATCGTTTTGAGTTCTCGGGCCAGGTCCAACTTACACCACCATCAACAGGCATGATTAAGCCAGTGATCCAACCTGCTTCTTTGCTGGAGAGAAACAGAATAGCTGCCAAGACTGTTAACAAACCTCGTTTCTACAAGTAGGGAAAAGAATTTAACAAACCATAGCCAACATCCCAACCAGTGCCTTCTTTCTTCATCAAGTTTTGGTTGATTCTGGCTTGCCTCATTTCATCTGTCATGCCTCGCCCACGTGTCATGGGTGTATAAACCATGCCAGGCGCCACACAGTTAACTCGAATGTTTTCTTGTCCATGATGAGCTGCCATTGCGCGAGTCATCTGGATGATGGCGCCCTTTGTAGTAGGATAAATCAGACTTGGGTTGCCACCAAGGACTGCGTTTCTCAATTAGCTCTGTCTAAATACCGGGATCATGTTAATAAAAGAGAACACTTACGTCCGCTAACGGAGGACATGTTCACGATGGAACCGCGCCCGGCTTTGCGCATCTCGGGAATTGCGTATCGACTCATGAGAACCATGCTTGTAACATTGATGCGGAAGTCTCTTTCCCATGCTTCCATGTTGATCTTGGTTGCGTCTCCGATAGCGCCACCAACACCAACTATCCAACCGAGTTAGAACTCGCTCATAAAGCCAAGATTTCATAAACAGCTACAATCAGGAATCGGCATCGGGCCAGCTCACCAATATTGACAAGGATATGGAGTCCACCAAAGAGCTCAACTGTCTTGTTCACAGCGTTCTGGCAAGAGGCCTCGTCTGTGACATCAGCCTGAATGACTTCTGACACTCCGCCCTCTTCATCAATCATTCGTTTCGTCTCCTTGGCCCAGTCAACGTTGAAATCAACCAAAGCAACCTTAGCTCCCTGGCGAGCTAAAAGAATAGCGGCAGCACGGCCGTTGCCAATCTCCCCTTCTCAGAGTCAACACAATCACTCCTACAAGAGGGTGTTGAGAGATCTCACCATCCATGCGCGACCCTGCGCCAGTGACCAGAGCCACATCACCTGAAAAGTCGAAAGCCTTTGGCGGAGTCATGACGCTTCGATGATTTTGAGTCGTTCTATTGATACAACGAACTGCCAGGCTTCGGGGAGCCCTAATAGAAGACAAGGGTTCGATGGATGTATTAAATCGGTGCCAAGTCGCAGATACTTTTCATGCAAATAATGTAAGAATATCTCTGCCATAGCCCTGCTTGAAATGATTTATATTCCATTTATAACTCATTCTTAACAACGTACTTTTGCTGGGTGGATGGACGGTGGTGGCGACTGGAATCTGTATGCAGTGTGGAGCATCGGCGAAAGTGCGCGGGAAATACCCGTGGAGAACAAGGAGGTGAGGAGACTCATAGATCGCCAGACCGAGGAGAATATTGGCCATGAAAACTTCCAAGAGACCTTCAATTACCCATTTTTTCTACGAGAGATATGCATGAACTGCCGGCTCAAGCAGATGATGCAATAGAGGTCAATTGGGCCGATTGCAACCCGTACATTCGAAGAATCCTACGCCCATGACTCTTCCTTTACCTACCCTATACTTACTCAACAGACACCTCAAGGCCGTTTGAGTCTGTTAACAAGCTATAATGAGCATTATGTAGAGGCTTTCTCTTTTTCAAATAAACAAGGTCCTTTTGTTTCATAGTGCATACAGTGGTATTTCGACACATTGTGTTGGCGTCGAGGTCAAGATCAATTTTGGAAAGCTTTTCCATTGACCTTCTCAATCTGATTCGAAGTACGTATTACCAGAAAGGCATTGTCTTTTGTAGTATAGTAACATGAAAGGACGCATGTATAAATTCACATTAAATGATTAGATATTATTATCAGAACGATGAGAACCGGCCCTGCTGCAGGCTTGAAAAATCAAACTGGTCAAAGTTAGCAAAGGTCTAGGGTAGGAAGCATCGAAACGACTGAACACGTGACATTAGACGGCGAGGTCCTTGGCTTCAATTGAGCGTTTTGCAGACCAACTCCTTTCCACAATTAATCTCATTTTGACAGCCACGGTCATATGAGGTAGGCTCAAGCGAACTTCCAATGCACTAAAACTAGACCCAACTTTGGCTCACTGAGGTTGTGTGTCTGAGATCTCCGATCTGGAAATATCAACAGTGGACACCACACCTCACGCATCTGGATTTGATCGGCGTTGCTGACTGCCCCCGGAGCGGTTATGTGATTTAGCAAATTTTTAGGCCATTCCTAAATCCTAATCATAATTATGGTTGAAACTGTAATTACCCCTGACCACGAAGGATGCTGGTTATTTCTGTCACTGACCACCATGCGTTTTATTTTGTAAAGTAAATGCTGGAATTTCTACCCAAATGTTTCCCAATCTCTTTGCGATCATGTATTTGGATATTGTAACCTGGAATGCTGGGTCCCACTCTCTATTGAATGGACGCGTGTGTGAGAGAAGCTGAGAGCATGAGGGAGATTTGAAAGCAGATACGAGCGCCAGACTGTGGAGGGGCTAAAAAAGGCCGCTTTCCCGGTGCAGCCACTAAACTAAATGAGGGCGTTCAGCCTGAAACGGGCTCAGCTGTGATGACTGCAGTGATGGGATGGAGGTGCTTGACGTGGCACGTCACATCATTGTCCCGCTTGCCAATAGTTTACCGTTTCTACGCAAAATTTGATGAGATGGCTTTTGAAATGATGTGTTGTGGTATTGATTTGTGATATTGAGACGAGCTACGACCCTGCAAGCGCACTGCAACGAGAGAGCCGTGTCTCCCGGATACGGGGGCAGACTGGGCTGGTTTGCGACGACAACAGGACAGGACAGAGAAGCGAGGATTGGGGATACACGCAAAATATTTGACGATATATCATTCTGCACCGCGGTGTACCAGCTTTTATGTGTAACTGCCCCGGCTGGAGGGAGGGGAGTATGTTCTCAACCAGCCAGTCGCACCCACACACTCACGGCTCCAATTCTTCACTTGGCGATCGCAATTCTCCTGAGAAAGCAGATCGTCGCCCACCGACTGACCCTGGTCCGTCCTAGGCTCTTAGCCCTGCCAGGCACCTCGGCGGACAGCCCAAACAACAATGGGCTGAATCGAGGCTGCGCTATTGCCCCTGTCTAGACTTGATCTAGCTAAGTAGAAGCCCATCAGATCCGAACTACCGTGATGGTTGCTGCCGGACTACCGGTAGGCCAGGAACACAGCCAGGAACAGCGGCCACATGGACACCTAGACTCTTCCACCGTCTCCCAAGTTGCCACGCTACTGGCGCTGCCGCTGACGAGCGCTCTAGATTTGCACTTGTGGCTGATTCGGTCTTCCTCAAGCTGCCCCTGATGACGACGCCGGCTGCATGTTAGCCGATTAGCCGTTCAATGCTCAGACTATTGAGAGGCCACTGAGCGCTGTGTGGGCGGGATACCAGCGAGTGTTACCAACCAAGAGAAGAAAAGGGAAAAGAAGAAAAAACCATTGGATTTTTACCACTACACACCATGCCCGGGCAAACTAGTAGTAGGGGGTGTGCCCATATCCCGTAGCTCGGAGAAATCCACTGTTCAGGCTCGTTACTCCCTCATATTCTGCCAAGAACCCTCGTTCTTTTGCTTTCGTTAATTCTCGTCCTTGCTTCCTCACGTCGGTGTGCGTGTTCATTCGTTTATCCAGTCTTCGCATTGCGTGAAGAAGGCCCTGTTCAAGGAAGCAGACAGGGATTACATTCGTTTACATTCGTTTATTCCGAGCCATCTCTTACTGGCCCGTTGCTTGTTTGTTTGAGCTCGATTTGATTTACCCTTCCCGCCCCCGGCCCCTAATCGCTCGTTAGAGTTTTGATCGGATCTATAGTAGAGAACATATATTCGATGCGATATCTCAGCATTGCCGTAGCGGCCCTCGGGCTGCTGACGGTTGGTGAGGCCAAGAAGTGTAAGCCAAGGCCGACCAGCACCTTGGCCAGCAACACTCCTTCTTCCGCTGCCACCCCAACCAGCACACCCGGACCCGATTCTCCAGACTATTATATCGAGAACGCGGACTTCACACTCGGCCTGGCGTACTACACTCCCAGCGGAAATGTTAGTTGGGTTGGTGATGATGGCTATGATACCAAGGATGGTACTGCTCAACTGACGACGAATGGAAATGACGATGACAACACTGATGCCACGCCCGTTCAGAAGCGTGATCTTGCCGGCACTTCCCTTTCTGCCACTGTCAGGAACCTCGTTGCCAGCTCGCCTTACACCATCTCATTCCACTACCTTGTTCTTACTGCCAAGCCTGACAATAGCTGCCGCCTGAGGGCCTACTTTAATGGAAACAACATCGCGAACACTGATCGATTCCCCCTCACTCAGAAGCCTAGCGCCAGTTGGAGCCTGTTGAGCGGTACGGTGATTCCTACCTCTACCACTGGTACTTTCACGATCTCTCTCGCCTGCAACGCCCCTGGTTTCGCCGTCGCCTACATTGATAGCCTCCGCGTCGTCAAGGGCGCTGCCATTGTGAGCTCTACCACCGCACAGGCTTCTTCTTCCAGTTCGAGTGTCGTTTCCAGCTTGAGCACCCCCGCCTCTTCCGGCACGGCTGCCATCTCTTCCACGACCCCAGTGTCTTCGCCTGCGAGCAGCGGCCAGGCCAGCTCCACCACTCCCGCTTCTGCTTCGAACACTCCTTCATCAAGCAGCACTGGTAGCAGCGCCGACTCAACCACGCCTGCTGCTTCTCCAAGCTCAGCTGCAGCCAGCAGCAGCACTCCTGATGCCTCGAGCACCACCCCTGGCTCCTTGAGCTCGACTGCTTCCAGCGACAGCTCCCCTGTTTCTTCTGCCAACACTCCTTCAAGCACTCCCGCTGCTTCAAGCACTCCCGCTGCTTCAAGCACTGATGCTTCAAGCACACCAGTCTCTTCAAACGCTGCTTCTTCCACCACGCCGGTCGATTCAAGCACTGCCTCTAGCACCCCAGACGCTTCAAGCGCTGCTTCTTCGACTACACCGGTCGCTTCAAGCGCTGCCTCTAGCACTCCGGACGTTTCAAGCACTGCCTCATCAGGTACTCCATCAAGCAGCGCTGCCAGCACTCCTTCCTCAAGTGCTCTAGGTTCTTCAAGCACTCCGGTCTCTTCTAGTGCTACCCCTTCAAGCACCTCGGTGGCTTCCAGCACTACGCCTTCAAGCACTTCGGCTTCTTCTACCACTCCTTCCAGTGCTTCCTCCAGTACCGCAGCCTCTTCAAGCACTCCAGTCGCTTCCAGTGCTACCCCTTCAAGCACCTCCGTTGCTTCCAGCACTACACCCTCAAGCACTTCAGTGGCTTCTAGCACTACGCCGTCAAGCACTTCGGTCGCTTCCACCACGCCGTCAAGCACCTCGGTCGCTTCTAGTACTACGCCCTCAAGCACTTCGGTTGCCTCCAGCACGACGCCCTCAAGCACCTCTGTCGCTTCCAGTACTACACCCTCAAGCACTCCTTCCAGCGCTTCTTCAAGCGCTTCTTCAAGCTCTGCGTCTTCCACTACTCCTGTTTCGACACCTAGCTCCACGTCTACGCCCAGCGCTACTCCTACCAGCTCAGCCTTGCCCTCCGCTACTGTTGATAGCACGGTTCTCATTATTGCCAAGGACGCCGCTACTGCTAAACTGGCCAGTGATGGCCTCAACGCCTACGGAATACCTTTCCAGAACTTCATCGTTGCCCAAGCTGGCTCAACTCTCCCTGTGCTCAACTCCTCTCTTACATCTGGCAACTATGGAGGCATCATTGTTATGAGCTCTGTTGCATATGACTATGGCGGTACTACAGGCTGGCAAAGCGCTATCACCACTGACCAATGGACTGCTCTCAACAACTACCAGCTCAGCTTCAATGTTCGTATGGTCCGTATCGATGAGTACCCTGGTGCTTCCTTTGGCACCACCCCAGGTGCTGACGGAGGCTGCTGCTCGGGTTCCGTCACGCAAAACATCTCCTTCTCCGACGTCAGCGACTTCCCCACTGCCCAGCTCAAGGCTAATGTTAAGGTTGGAACCGACGGTCTTTACCACGTTCCTGCTACCATTACCGATAGTTCGACTACCAAGGCCGTCGCTGTGTTTACGCCGGACAGTGGCAGCACGGTCGGTGGTGTCGCCGCCGTAATCAACAACTTCAACGGCCGCGAGCAGTTTGTCTGGTTCATCAGCTGGGCTACCGACTGGTCCCCGACATCCAACTGGCTCCAACACGCGCACATTCATTGGATGACTCGTGGTGTCTTTGTCGGTAAGCGCAAGGTTCACTTGAACGACCAGATCGATGATATGCAACTGTCTACCGAGATGTATTATCCTACGAATATTCCCGAGGTGAAGATTGGAATCACAGATCTGGAGGCCCATGTCGACTGGCAAACGAGCATCAACTCTCGACTCCCTGCTGGTTCCGACTTCTGGCTTGAAATCGGGCACAACGGTAATGGCGATATCATCAACTCGACCTTGACAGACGATGATATGAACACCAACAAGTGTAATCCCCCTGACGCTGTCTACTGGGACCAACTTTCATCCCCTAACGAGTGGAGGAAGCCTCTCGGCACTGGTGAGGATGTTTGGCCCACCGGTACCAATTACGAGACATACTCTTGGTCGCATGCATGCGCCAAGATCGACCAGTTTGCTCTTTGGTTTTCTAAAGCAGCCAACTTGAACCACTTTGCCCACCTTTCGCACACGTTTAGTCACATGAGCCTGAACAACGCCACATATCATGATGCCAAGCGGGAGATTCAGTTCAACCAGGCCTGGATGAAGCAAATGGGAATCGATGCGGCCACTAGATTCACTGCTAATGGAATTATTCCCCCTGCTATTACTGGACTGAACAATGGAGACTCCATCCAGGCTTTGATGGACAACGGTATCAAGCACGTTGTCGGTGATAACACTCGGCCCGCAACCCGTAACCCTAACAGCGTCTACTGGCCTCTTATCAGTACCTACGCTACGAATGGTTATGACGGGCTTATCATCATCCCCCGATTTTCCTCTCGAATTTACTTCAACTGTCATACACCTGAATGCACGACTAACGAGTGGATCGCGACGTCTGCCGGAAGTGGCGACTTCAACACCCTGCTGGCCCTCGAAAAGTCTTCTTCTACCCGCAACTTGCTAGCTCTTCAATCTGATCCTTACATGTTCCACCAGGCTAACATGTACACGACTGGCAATGACATTAGGACTATTGGAGACCAGACTCGTCGTATGTCCCTCGTCATGGCCTGGACCGAGACCGTTGTCCAGGAGATGATTCGCATCACCAACTGGCCGATTACCAGTCAGACTCAGGACCAGATGGCTACGTACTTCACCAACCGTATGACCCTTGATGCTTGCAGCCCCAAGATGAGCTACGTCTGGAGCAGTGACGGAAAGACCCTCCAGAAGGTGGTTGTCACCGCCAACGGAAACACCTGCTCCACCCCTATCCCGGTTACTATCCCCAAGGGTAGTGTCACGGCATCCGGAGGAAGCGTTACGTCTGACGTTGTTGGTGCCGAGCCTCCTATCCAGTGGGTTACTCTCAGCGGCTCTCCAGTCACCCTGACTCTGAGCACTGCCGTCACGAGCTCATAAGCGGAGTAATTCTTGAGGATTCGCGTCGTGGATTCGCAATGAATGGGATGGATTAATGTATAGTTTCGAAAATTACTCAGACAGACCCCTTTTTCCTTTCTATCTAATTTTTATCGCGTTGATGAGATTGGACCATTGTCTTTGCTATCATAGGCCATTCGTATTTCAATTAATATCTTGGAGTTGATGAGATTATTTAAAAGTACTTTTTTGAGTTTTGACAGGAAATCGAGCCTTAATTTTGCCCTTTACCTTGCATCTTCCACTCCGCCGACCCTTTCCATTCTTTTGATATGTTGTTGAAAACTTTGACAAAAAGCACGGGACAACCCCTCTCATGTGTTGATTTGGAAATCTTGTGCTCTAATAACCTTGACAGGTGCTTGCTCGAGATAGAAGTCCTCCCGTCATACGTTAAGAGAAATGCTGAGCTATCAAAGGCTTGTTCTTTTATTGTACCTCCCTGGAACCAAATCTACTGAGAGCCCACCTTGATCAGGCTGCTGCAATTTTCTTAAACGGATTCCTTTGCCGCCTGGATAACATGTTCTGCAAACTCCTCGGGGTGAGTGATGTAAGGATAGTGCATGCCCGGCAATTGTTTCAACCTAGCGCCAATCTTGGCTGCGGTAGTGACGTTATCCGCGAACGTCTCCTTTGGCGTGTCAGCCCCGGTCGACCAATATAAGGGCTTCTTTTTCAAAGCCTCTACATTGTGAACGGGCGTGCTGGATGGGATAGTCTCCGGGTAGCCACGAGCCCACAGCGGGAAGTTGTACCGAAGCCGGGCGTGACACTCGTCCCCCAGAGCAGCCCACTTGGCAGGGTCGCCGAGCTTGCCGGCTTTCATGCTGGCGGAAAGGAGCTCGCGAATGTCTTCATCGGGCAGCGAAGCCAGCATGGCCATCCGTGGCATGCGATAGGTGGGAACCTCGTGCACCATCGCACTCCTAACCCGCTCCGGGTGATCGACCAAGATGGCCAGGACTGCCGAGCCGCCCGAGCTGGACCCCCAGAAGCTTGCTTCCTTGATTTCAAGAGCGTCCAGAAGGGAGATGATATATGTTGCTAGTTTCTGAGCTGTGACATATTTGTACGTCGAGGGTGGTGCCTTGGAAGAACGGGACAGGCCGGGCATGTCAAAGGTGGTGACTCGGAATCCTGCAGAGGCAATCTGCTGCATCGGCTTGTCGAACATGTGGCAATCACCGTAGCCCTCAGGCACTAGGACAATGTCGGGGCCCGACCCTTCCTGCTCATAGTACCAGGTGATGCCGTTTGCAGTGGTCAGCGTATTGTGAGTGCGCATCGTGGAATCGTGGTCTCGGTGGATTGGTAATTGAGGTGTTTTGTGCAAAGGTGGTTCCAGCCCCTCATGGAGGCGATCCTCCTGTGAGGTTACACAAACCAACATCCAGGGTAAGGTAACATCTGACCGTAATGCCGTTGATACCGTACCAAGTAATTGCAAATACATTGCCTTAATATTGTAATATAGAATCAACCTACAAACTAATCTGATATTATTTTAAAAAAGACGTTGGAACTCTACTGGAGACGCTGAAGTTACTGCATATTCATTGTGTTCAGATGCTGGGCTCTGGCATCTTCCATTCCTGTTGAATAGTTATCGGGACGGAAATAGCAGGAGAAATAGATATATTACTATATTCTAGTTTAAAACCTCCATAGAATACGTGAGGTAAACACCTAGCAGTTCCTCTTCAACCACCGCCTCCACCTCCACCTCCACCACAGCCGCCAGCACCGCCAGGAACAGTAGCAATGCCACCTAGATTAGCCACGGTCAGCAACAAGTTCCTAAGTATTGAAAACAATTACTTACCAGTGAGTATCCCATGATTCCCCAGAGCATTGTTCTATCATCACATTAGCCTTACTTGATTCAACGGGAGCAAAAGGAGAGAGTCGTACACCCCACTGCACACAACCACCAGGCCCGCCACAGCCCCCAGCGGCAATGTCATTCTGTCCGCAAGCGCCCATTGCACAGGTTGCCCATGCTGGATCTGCACCGGGGCTGACCATGGAGGCTGGGCTTGATCCGCTGTACATGCTATCCGATAAGAATGTCGGTGCTGCCTGCGGGCCGTATATAAAATATTTCCTGCCCCAGTGGCTGTAGTATTCGCCTTTCGATGGTAACTTGCGCCCTTTTTTGCCAGCGCGCTTTACAGCCCTGTCATATGACTCGTCTAGTTTGAATTCCCACGCTTTGCGGATATACTCCCCAATGTAGGCTCTGGTAGGAGGTTGCTCGCTTGCGTTGTGGGCGGATATGTGGGCTGTCCCCTCACTGGGAGGAGGCGGTTGAGCATTCTGAAAGTCATGTATGGCTAGAATTGATGAGTATCGACGGTTCTTGATCGAGCTAGATGAATGACAACGTACCTTTTTGCACCTTGTTCTTTCCGACGTTGAACAGACTGGGCCCTTTTGGAAAGCTGTTCTTGTGATGGATAGCTGTACAGGTTTAGCCTCTTCCCCTTCATTTCCAAGTCGTTGACAAGTAGAAACGTCTGCATACCTTCACAAAATCCACACGCACACTCGGAGTACACCTCTCCAAACTTGGCAAGATATGTAGCACTGGTCCTCTCGAATGACCTAGCCAGGGTGCTCTCCTCTACTTTGTCGTTGTGATCAACAAATTTGGCCTTCCGGAGTGCTAGTTTCCCCGAGTGAGTCGTAGTAGATTTGTAGTATGCTCGTGGAGCCAGCTGATGCGTGTGCCAAACCAGGTCGACATCCAAAGTTGGGACACATAGATGCATCGAGTCTTCATGCATAATGAGGAGGAATCTTTGATACTTTTGGCAAAACCGGTCCATGCTCTGCCGGAGGACAGGAGAGAACAGCCAATTCAGCTAGCGGAATGTATTAACCAGAAGTTCAGCGTTACCAATGAGTTGAGCAAACATACCCGAACCGCCTTTTCAATAAATGTTCCTTGTCTCATAACTGCTGCCACAAGGTCCAAGGCGAAAATGGAGTGGGTCTCCCAGTATCGAGACATCATTTTCCGAATCTGTACCGCTTCGGTACTCCTTAGCCGTGGACGTGCCCCGTTACTTGGGCTCGCAGACGCAGTCGCCTGAGCTTTGGGATCTCGAATGCTCGAGACTCCCTGTTCTGTTGAAAGAATTTTGGAGAATAGATCCTTTATGGTTAGCATGCTCGGCAAATTCCCCATCGAGTAATTAATAAAGTTCTCCAGCTGAGATCCCAATGCTTGCTTAGCAAGGTGGTTAGGGAGAATGACATCGGCTATTTGGTCGGGAGTTGGAGGCATGCCGCTCTCTGGATGGAGAACAGATCCGGGCATAGTGATATCATTTTCAATATAATTGTTAGTATCCCGAACCAGCTTGGCAACAGAGAGTAGCGATTTGGTAACAACTACTCCGCACTCGGTGCAAGTTTGTTTAAAATCACCGTCGCCATAGCCATTCCCAGTCAAACCGGGATCGCTAAGAAATCGAGTCAGCACTGAGCACGTTATTTCTGAAATAGATGATTGCGAGATGTGCGTACGCGACTCCTTTATAAGTCTCAGGCAGACCACATGTTGTCCAGGCCACGTCATTTGGCTGTTTGCAAGCTGGACAGTCCACAATCTTTGTCGTAGGGCCGAGCTCATTTTCCCATTTTACACCCGTCTGCGTTTCCCAGTTCATTCTGCACTCAGATGAAGGCGAGTAAGCCATTTTGGGATCGAGTGCTTTGTTCAGGACAGCCCATGGCATGCCCGTGGTCCACAGCTCTCTTAGACCCCAGAGCATAGCATCCTCAAGATAGCAGCGCGGATTCAGCATGTGTGTATGCCAAACCATCAAAACGTCTGCTAAGGATGTTAGAGCCAGCCATTGCAAATGAGAAGGGTCAAAATCTAGGTACTATAATGCAACATACCTAAGGGAGGTAGCTGATCTTCTGTCCACGAAAAGTCCGCTGCCCCATTTGGAAATTCGACCCATCGGGGCGAGTCCTTGTCGTGCACTTCTTTTGCCATCAGTCGGTCCCCGGCGATAGCCTGCCACCATAGCTGATAACGATCGACAGCCCTTGCTACATACAGGGCCCATCGTTTCTCTCGTAGATGGGATAGTTTCGTTTTAATGTCTGCAATTTGAGCCTCATCCAACTCACCATCCTCGAGGGCGCCGACCGGCCCGGCGCGAGAATCCCATAAATTCCAAAGGCCATCGTGATATCCAATCTCTTCTTTAAGATTCTGAATAGCATGAACGAAACGCAGATGGGCGATGCAGGTATCGACGTCTGGATCCTTCTGCGTCTCCAATCTGAGACTCGCAAACGAGGTCATGAGTGAAGTAAGGTGGTCCGTTGGGGATGTACCTTGGGCAGATGATGTCGCTACATCGAACGAGGGAGGGGCATCCTGACCAGGACCTTGTCCAGATTTATCATATGTCGGCGGAGGAGTTGAGGCGCGTTCATCTGATGACCCTTAATTAGAATATCGTTCCCTTGACTTGAACTTTTCAGGTGATTTCTCAGGTTGAATACCATCTTCTCCTTCCTCCTCACGACTGCCTTTGTTTTTCTTCTTACTAAAGAAGGATGGCATCGCGTTTTAGTCGCTGGTAAGTTTGCTTAATGGTATGGATGATCAGAGAACCCGAGTTTAGAATGCGGGCTGCTCAGATTATATAAAGCTAAGCTGCGAGAAGTTTATACCCCGAAATAAGGCTCTAACAATTGGTCCCAATACGGGACAAGCTGAAAGAAAAGTGGTCATATGCCATCATTTCTGCATCGTGGCTATGCAATCGGGCAACGGCAACGGCTGATGCGGGGCAACTCGGGCCTTTTGGCAGCATTGTCATCCCTCGGCGAATTCCTCACCTACCCATTCCCAATCACTAGCTTTATAAACGTCCGTGCCGTGGATTTTGTCGATGACGTACATGTAAGATGAGAGTCTTACCACGGGGCTTGTGTTAAGGCGTGATGGGGAGATCATTGTCCCGGAAAGTTCAACTAATGGATCCGGATCTTCGCCTGAAGTTCCGAGCCTGGGATCCGAAGCTAGAGAACTGTGGTTTGTCTCGATAGTTGACGAGCCAATAGGATCATCCGGCCTCGGAGCTGGAGAATGGTCATCCCCGCACAAGAGAATAACCAGACGTTCACTATATGAAGTTGTAATTTAGCTGCCATAGTCTTTGAAGAACCATAATGTGTTGCAAATGAGAGTAATATTCCAAAGTTACCCAGACTAGATAACATACTTGTTCCTTTGTCAAACACCCAGCTGGCAGGTGGTCCCCAAGTCCTCCTGATCATCGAAGATTCGGGCTACTTACCTTACGCCAGCGCTCCCATAGGGTCCCAAAGCGGTAAGACGATCGGCTCTTGTTTCAAGATATCCTTGATGCTCTTGCTCAAGACCCTAGGGTCAATAACAGCCTGATAGACAAACTCATCCATCCAGGCATCGCTCATAACAAACCAACCCTTGTCGCCAGCGGTAGTTCCCCAGCTATTCTGTACCCTCCATCGGACTGGCTTGCCCGTCTTTTCATCAAGATGGACCGCCGTCAAAACCATGGCGTGGGTCATCTGACTCTCACCTGTCATCAAGCGTTGCGCTTTGGTCATACCCAGCAAGCTCGTGTTGAATCCCAGATCATAATCAAAGAGGTCCAAATCCATGATTCCAGAGCTGGAGTCACTAAACTTGCCAACGTCGCTGCCAAAGAAGATGGGGAGACCTGCCTTCAGCATCTTGATGCAAGCAGACTTGAGCGTGTCAATCTCGACATTGACATAACTGATGGCACGTCCGCCGACAATGTTTCCTAACCTGTCAACAGTGAGGAGAGTGTTGGGGCGATGACGGGGGTCGTGGACCAGGGAGATCATTCCTTCGATGGCCGCAGAGTTGATACGCAGCTCAGAGCTGGAAATGTCTTTAGCAAAAGCCTTGGGGGTTGTTTGAAGCTCATGTGCCTTGCCGTCCTTGTCCTGGTATTGCCAAGTGAAAGTCTGCTGTGAAGATGGAGGAGGACCGAGCAGCAACGTCAAGATGAGGGTCACCTCCTTAATCATTTCAGCCTTGGCGGAGGAGATGGTTTGAGCTGAGACCCCTTCCGAGCTACGGGCCAGCTGGCGCAACTTGAGAGCGAATTCCCGAAGTTTTGTTTTGAGGATGTTGTTGAGAATGCCGGAGTGCATCGCGTTCCAGCTGTCCGGGTAAAGGGACTGGGGAACCAACCCATACTTATCAACGAGATTGTACACCATGTCCCACTGGCCACCATCTGAAACAAGATCACCAAGAAGTCGCTGGACAAGACGACCCTCAAGATCCTCTCCAGCCGTATCGATGATTTGTTCAAGGAACCAGTTGGACTTCTCGAGCTTATCCCAGAAGTACAAGTAGGACTGGGAGAGCTCAAAGCTTTCGAGGTTATAGCGCTTCATGAGGGCTACGCGGAAGACATTGGTAGAGGCGAAAAGCCAGCATCGCCCACTTGAGCGCTGGTTCGTGATGGGGCCACCCTCAAACGGGATCTTGACATTGTAGATCTGCTGGTCTGCGAGCTCGGTGGGGAGCGAAGTGAGGACCTTCCTTGGGTCCGCGCTGCTGAGAGCGGTGAGTGCGAGTCTGAATAGACGGATAGTTGATGTCAGCTAACACTACTCTCATTACACTTTGGTGCCGACTGCCGCATAACGGCACGTGCGCTATGAGCAGACATGGAGGTACGAACCTGTTTTTGGGGTCCTTGAGAGCTTTGTTCTGCCACGACTGCAAGACCTCAATGGAGAGCCCCTCCGCACGGCGTGAGATTTGCGAAAATGCAGCTTTCTCGGAATCGTGACCGGCTGAGGCGTTATCGCTGTCCTCAATCTGCATGTTGCCAAGGCGTTCCAGAACTGCCTTCTCATGAGGACTGGAAGGGGTTGATTGTTGGCCGCCCATGATTGATGTCTTGTGTGGATGGATATAGATTAAAGTTCAGATAGACGCAGTGGCAGAAGTCGTAAGTCGGATGTATTTGAAGGAGATGAATGAACGTGGTCAAGTCCGGGGCAGCATTGCGTGAGGCAGATGACGACTGATACCAACGGCTGATAAGAACTTGTGGGGGCTGAGATGAGAACCCTTTTGGCCAAGTCAAGCCGAAAGGGAGGGCAGACGAGGGCACATGACTGGTGTCCGCCTCTTCCTATCAAGCCCAATACGTGTAATGGATGCACACCTGATAGCATGTGCCCCCTGCAGAGGACAACCCATCCTTGTTCATCAAACGCTCCCTCGATTGCGACATCTGACAAAGATATGTTCTAGGCGCTAATCTGGCACTAACCGATCCCCCACACTGGTCAGAACGACTCTCGTCTCAGCTTCTACATCGCCACTTACCCTAGACCCACGGTGCAGATTGTGTCCGCCAACAGCAAGCAGATAACTAATCATTTAGCGGCAGAAGTCAACGAGGACTCTGGACTTTGCTCTCTAGGGCTTATTATAGGTGGCTACGTACATAGAAGGTGACGCAGTTAGTAGTTGAGATCTACGATGACTAGACAGATATAATGGGTAGTTCTTCCTTGGAAGTGGGATTAAATAATCACCTCCAATGACGTCTCCGAAGATTGCCTGAAAGACTTGATACAAGTAAAATATACTAGGTTGCTATGTTCTGTACGCCGAGAAACCTCTCTATCATTCACTTTCAAGAGTGGTGGTTTATCGACACGATTATAGGAGAGAGAGAGGAGGAGAGAGAAAGAGAAAGAGACCGAACATCTTAGGGCGCCCACACCGCATTCTGCTTCACTTTGTCCAACAATCGTTGTGTTTCTAGTGAATCCTCAATACTTGCGTATGCACTCTTCTTGCCCTTGGCAAAGGCTTCATAGAGCCTCAAGATGTTGAGTCCAGGCGCGGCAATGCTTCCAAAATACTCTCCTTCTTCCGGCTGAAAGTCAATCTCCTCTGTCTTTGCTGCCCACTTCTTGAGAGTAATCTTTCCTCCGGTGGTTCCCATATGGAAGAACCCTGGATCACCGGTGTATACCAGCTCCCCTTCAGTGCCAGAGATAATCCAGCGAAAGCCTACCCCATCGGCCGGACACTTGTTGGTACGCAACTGGAAAGACGCTGCAGCCCCTCCTTCAAGTACGCCTTGAACGAGTATGATGTCAGGTGATGTGATTTGGTACGAAGGGTCTACAACGTCGCCCTTGGCATCAAGAAGGCGGGCTGTCTTCTCTTTCGTTTTGAATGTGCTCTGGATGGTGGAAAAGGTACCTAAAACAGAGATAAACGCATCGATTTCTGTAAGTCGCGTTAATAATGTAATTCCTGCAAGATCCTCTTTGAGTAATGACTCAACTTACGATGCCCAAAGACAATATTAAGACGGCTGATTCCGGAGTCAAGGTCCAAGGCCCCAGATTGCGCCTTTGGCCAGCCTTGTGAGGCATCAAGTGAAGTGTGGCCAATAAATGTGCTGTAAACGACGTCCCCGATCACCTTGCTTTCAATAAGCTCACGGAGCTTCGCGACCGCAGGGTCGCAACGGCCTTGAGATCCGATAATAGTTCTTACGTCCCTGTTCCTTCCCAACTCTGCAAGCTCGGAAGTCTGAGCCACCGAAGGAGTCGCAGGGAATTCGATGAAAAGGTCTTTACTGTACTGCAAGAGAGTCTTGGCTAATGTGTAGTGTTTGTCGAGGTGCACGACAACCGCCACAAGATCAACATTTGGGTCGCTGGCGATGCCCTCCATGGACCCATATGCTTTCACGGTAGAGGGAAGACCGTGGCTAACAATAGACTTTAGAGCTGACTCTTCAGAGGAATTGCAGACGGCGACGAGCTCGAGATGGGGGGAGTAGACGATGGCTCTCATGTGCTGGATGCCCCATTCACCGGCATTAAACGGCCCAGTACTGACTGGTCCAAGGCCAACAAGGCCTACTCGGAGGGGAGCCATTGTCAATTGATTTTCTCTAGAGTTGATTTTATGAAATAGTTGAACAGATTGGTTGCTGGTAAATTATCTCTGTGCGCACCAAGGCACGATATACCCAAAGCGGCGTGTGCATCCATCACTCTCTATTTCAAAATCCAACATCCCTAACCCCTCACCTTGACTGGCTACATGGTCGATCAATCTTGAAACGATCTACTACGAGATGATGAAGTGAGTTAGTGGCCGTAACTCCGAGAGTTTGAGATGGGCGGCTGTGGTTGGCTTACATGTCCGATCCATGCTCGAGACCCGCTCGAACTCCGCGACCATGCTTTAACAATCTGCTCACTCCGTCCGTCAAAGCCCATTTGCCCAGCCTCTATCTTGATTCTCTCCGAATCTAGTGGCTGTGTTTTCCGGTCTTCGTGGTTAGAAATGCCCATCTCACGGAAAAAGGCTTGCACAAATTGCCGCTCTTCTAAAGCGGGCTGCGATAGGGCGCTTCCTGCGTGTCATCGCTGTGTTGAGAAACAGCTCCGATGCATCTATGATGGCCGGAAGCGAGACCGTTTCTCGCCTCTGGCTAGGCCATTGCTCCCTCGTGTCACGAAGAGCCCTCTACAAGGATCAGCTGTAACCCCTTCAGGAAATCCTGAGGATGACCCCTCCAAAAATCCCACCACAGACGATCCAACTGCTCAATCGACAGCCGCTTTTCCCATTGAGTGGTGGGGTTCTGATGAATTTGGCGATTCTATCGACTCGACAGCAAAAGTATATGCTGGAAATTCGGTTATTCAACTCGAGCCTCCGATAGGGACGTCTGCATGTGGCATTGCTGGCGCCCTTCCATCTAGATTTTCCCTGGATGAAAGGCTCACTGCACCTGCCTTAGGTATAGCTGGCTTGAACTATTCCACACCCGATTCTCAGTTAATCTCGGCTACACAACGCTCGGATTCCCGAAAGCTCAGACAGCGATACCCTTTAAGGGATTGTTTGCTGGGTGTTGCCGTCTTAGGCCAGCTATGTAGCTATCCCAAAATGATGATTGAAGGCTTAAAGCTCCCTCCATTCATCAAGGCGCCTTGCCATCAGAATGAAGAGCTCGCCCCCAGCTGTGTGACGGCGGGGAGACACCAATGCTTTCCAAAGAGACTCGATACTTGCGCGGGCCTTGTTCAAATGTATTACTCCAGGACCGATGAGAATGTCGATGTCATATGGAGTATGATTTACGCAGAAGTAGCAAAGCTGGCATCGGAGGTTAGGATGGATCCAGAGCTTGAACAGCTTACGAACCTACAGTGTCCATTGCCAGAAGAAAAGCTTGAAATCATGCAGTGCCTCACAATCTTTCTGCTCTTACAGGCCGACGATCCCCAATCATATGAGGCAAATGATATTGACTTCCTGCTGACTGTTGCCATTGTATGTATCCGTCATATTTCTAAAACGTGTTATTGCTCTCTTCTGCCAGATTCCTGTGCAGAGACCGCTAATAAGGCAATTGAAATTCTTGCTTTGAGCTATCATTCTAACCCGCTGCATCAGGATACGTACTATGACCTCGCCTTGACTCAAGAATGGCGTTTTGAGCTCCCCAACGCCAGACCGCTATACCGAGAATGGATTTTCCGAGAAACTATGAGAAGGTCACTATAAGATTAAAATAAACCGTTTCAATCTTTTCTAACGTTATTTGTAGGCTCATGATCATTTACGGTATATTTGATCTGCTTCTCGAAGGCATCGTTGGCACAGATAAGACTGGTTGTAAGGGTGGAAGCGGGCTGAGCAACGCATCACTCCCCTGCACTCGGGATTTGTGGGAAGCATCTACAGTTCGAACTTGGGTGGCTTGCTATCAGAAATACATCTTTTCAAGACAAGGCGGTGTGATGCTTCTCACCCGGCACATTATGGAGTTGAGGCTCACAGATCCCTTTGCAATCCCACTTGGCGATAGCCCAATATCTGAAATGGTTCACTGGTGTAAAGGAATGGACACATTGGGGAATTTGATCTGGATGGTCCTCCCTTTACAGCAGTACCGAATACGGGATGACACGCGTGCAATTTGGTGATATAATCACGAAGTCACAAATCTATGCCGTCCGGTGGGGCAGCGTCAATCTCAGTAGACACTCATACTGGTTTCAATCGCTGAGGAATGGCCTCATCGTCGGTCACGCTAATAACAACAATAATTGCATGAAGCAGCCTACCTTGGTCGGCTTTATTAAAGCCTTGTTTGGGCTTTTGGGATGAGAATGCTCGTTCTTTATGGTTCCGTAACTTTAGATTGAAACACTTCTATACTACATGATGTTTGTCCTCCGTTCATCCGATGTCGAGGTATCGGCAGCAGGTGAGCGATACTCCTTCTTTTGTACGGGAGCCCTTCTACCTAGACAAGAGAATGAAGCTCTACGCTCTCAGCAGCAGCCACCACCATGTTGGTGGTATTCATTTGCACAAGGCTTCGGTTGCCCCTCAGCAGCCTTGCTCTTGCAGCTCACATGGAATGCCGAGAGCTTCACCAGCCCTGGAATCTCCCTCAAATGGTGAATTGTGGACTTGAACGCTTCTGTCTCGCGGAACTTCAGATGCGCTTCAACGCTGGGCCAAGCAATGAAAGACACAAACGCAACACCAGACTGAGACTCATCCCCTCGAACAGGCACATCGTTGTCCACACTCCAGCCACAGCTGATACCCCGCCAATCTGGCGACGCCTTGAGCCCGTCAGCGACGAACTCGCCCACGCGCTTTATGGCCGCGGATCGCGAGTCGGCATCATAGTCATGTGGAAAATAGGCTATTAGGACCTCGGTCACGCGAGACCCTTTGTTGTCCAGTACGTCTTCAGGAGAGGGGGATATGGCCACGAGCTTGCTGAAATCCTTTGTGGTCGACTCAGTATTTCTATATGCGCCAATGGCTTTGACGTGAGATGCATACTCCCTACCAAGATCGTTAGAAGATGCTAGACACAAATGCTAGCGAGAGTATTTTGTATGATGGGAACTCTGCCAAGGGAAAAATGATGGAGATACGCACTCGCTCTTGCGATAATTATTCCGATGCTCTGAGGTCTCCCAGTCGACAAACAGCCACAGGTTGGCAGGGTCTTCAATCTCATGACTTGTGTAAATCCGCTGCACGCCGGGCTGCTTTAAAGTCTCATCGAGGACACTCGTCAGGGCCTTGCCAGCGTCTGAGGACTCGTCTAGAGCATTGATTCCATCTTGGAGGCGAATGCGAGAGATTTCCGTGACATTCTCGACCGGTGTAGCCATTTTCGGGTCTTGAAAGAATAATGCGGGAAGGATTGTTCCAACAGTCTGCGTCTAGCACTGCGTGAGGTGTTGCAATGAGGATGCGGGGATGAAATGCGCGTTGATGGTGGATTCTAGAAGAACCATCAGCTTGTATCGACTGTTCCCCGCTCGACCGAGGCGCCTGAATCGTGTTTAACCTTCTGTAGCGCGCCAACGCAGTCGACTTGAAAAATAAGCGGCGTTCCAGTTCCTTCGCTCCGTGCTCACCCCGCAACTCTCGTTTCCCCCCATCCGCATACTTTTACTGGAGATCGACCATTACCCACCAGACTCTGGATGTGGCTAGTGAATGCTGAGATTGTGTATCTTGTTGTACTGTGGGTCTCACTACATCTCTGTTCCGCAATATCCAGACCACTTCTCTAGATGTGGAAGGAAAAGGATTGACATATCACTACGGGCAAACACACAAGACCTTCTCGCAGGAGATGAACATTCTAGAGTGGAGCTATGATGGGGTTTTGAAAGGCTTTATTTCTCGTCTACTGCGTTGTAGTTGCCACCGCGATTCCCTTGCCGTTCAACATCTACCATCGCTGCCACGCGCCGGTAGCTGGTTCGTTCTTAATTGAGTTTTGTAAAGCGAAACAGTGTTGTATACACCTCGACGCCAGTGCTTGGGCTCTTCCAACCAAAATACCTCTCCCTCGAGTGCAGCTCCCAGCCCTTAGGCACTCCAAACTCCTGTACTTCCTGCAGATGGTTGATGCCCAACAATGAGTTCATTGGGGGCGGCAGCATCTTGATCCTCTCATTCTGCTCATCTGGAATCTCATCTACACCAATAGTCACGGACTTTTGTGCGAGCATGAAGCATCGCGCTAGGACTAGAGAAACCTCGTAGGTGGTGAGGAAGTTAATGGCCTGATGATACATAACGTGGTCGAACTGCTCAGACATTCTCGGCAGACACTCCTGGACTGGCCCAATAATGACATCGTCATACCCGGCTTCCTTCGCAAGCCGAGCCATTTCGGGCGAGATGTCGATTCCCACATGCCGAGCCTTCTTGGTTTCTGAGCCTTGGGACTCGGAGGCATGCTTTTCGCGGATCATTCGACCAAAAATGCCTGTGCCACAGGCAAGGTCCAGCAGGCTTCCGTTGAAGTTGTATTTGCTCAACAGATTGGCGAACTCGCCTTCTGCGGGGCTGTGTGTGAGCTTATGGTTCTCATATCCGGGAGCAATCATATCCCACGCTTCGCTGATTTTGCACAGAGGTGATTGGCCATTCTGCTCTGCCTGCTTCATATATGAAGCGAAAACAATGTTCAGCAGTGCGCGATGCGCGCCAGGCAGGCTGTCTAGAATGACTTCTTCCTTGGGGTCCATCTTCTCAGGCAGGAATATCCCAGGCATGGGGTTGACTTCGATGACCACTGGGCTTCCATCTGGTTTAATTCTGATGTCCACGCTGCCCCACGAGCCACCTTTATTCCCATTAACAGTGAAGGCCTCTACAGCGAGTTGCTGCAGAGTATCATAGAGCTGAGGGTCGTCATCTCGATTGATCTGGGTCCCATAAAGCTCCGGATGGAACTTGATGTCGAATGTCAGGAAGCGGTCGGGAGATAATACATCACCGCTGGGATATGTGTAGTATATTGGATTTAGGGCAATTGGTGTCTCCCCAAACTCAATGACAACCACATCGTAATCTATGCCAGGTACAAACTCTTGCACGATGATATCGTCGGGAAGATTGTCAACAGAGACATGCTCGCCCTCACGAGGAATGTAAACGATGGCATCCTCGCTCGAGGGTTTCAGGGCTTCTCTTCTCGCACGGCCTGGCTCCAGCTGCCGATTGAGTTCTGCAATGGCTGCGTCTCGTTCCGCCCCTGTGCGGCAGAGGCTCTTCTCATTCATGAATTGGCTCGCGCAGGTTCTTGCAGCCTTGACAATCACTGGAAACGAGTTCATGTTGTTGCCAGGGACAGGGGGGCTTCCTCTCTTCCGCGCAGTCTCATAGAACTCTGTCTTGCTCTTCATCTGTATATGGCTTCTGAAGCCAATAAAAGGAACATTGAGACTCTCAAGATATTCAATGGCTGCGACCCCGGCTACTTCATCTTCTGGCGCTCCCCAGAGGAAGTTGAAGATGAAATCGAAGCCTTCGGCCACCGCATTGTCAATCTGCTGGCGAAAGTTGGCCTTGTCGACAAAGCGGTGATGGAATTCGTGCTGGGAGACGTAGCGTCCTGGGTCGGGATACTCATCAATATCACGGAGTACGTGCACTTCAGGATATCTGGCTTGCAGAAGGCAAATCTTCATGGTTACGGTCAGAGTCGGAAGCAGGGGAAAGATTGACCAAAGAGTGTGTAGGAGAAAAAGGATAAAGTTTAAAAACAATGAAGCTGCCAGGGCCCGACCAACTCAACGCAGTGAATACGAAAAGCTTAAGAATATAGCCTTTCCTAGTACACCCAAGGAGTCATACGGCTAGAAAAGGTGACCAAAGAGTAATGACCGCAAATCTAGATTATGAGTTGAACGACAACGAACATGGCCAGACGAATTGAAGAGGGGGAAGCGGTGCGTCTCCCTACGAACTTATGATCTCGCAGTCACGTTGTTCGCCAACTCAAGCTGGATGCTACAATATCCTCTACGAGCACTTGGGATCCATTGTGGGATCCGATGTTTTACGTCGAATGCACCAAAGCGTTATCCCGGAACTAATTGTGCCGATCTGCACTTCTCTCCTCGGTTACTACTAAAGAAGAAGGATTTAATTGGTCACTCTCTGTCTCTCGAGCTAGGTCGGACATGCTTTTCGTTGTCTCACAAGTCATCATGTCCTCCCCGGCTGTCCTAGCTCCGATGCTGTATTTCACCCAATACCCACTGCCCCTGACTGGCCTGAATGTTGTAATACCTTGTATTGCTTTTCGTTATCTCACACATCATCATGTCCTCCCCAGATGTCCTGGTTCCGATATCGTATTTCGCCCCATACCCACTACCCCCGACTGCCCTGAATGCTGTACTGCCTTGTATTGCTTTTTGTTGTCTTACACATCATCATGTCCTCCCCGGCTGTCCTAGCGGTATGTCTTCCTATTATCTGCTGCTCCCGACTGCCCTGAATGCTGTACTACCTCGTATTGCTTCCCGTTGTCGCATTAAACCACAAATAATGCTGAATATCGTGACACCAACTGTACTTGTTTCGATCTGTTTCTTGCGACTTCGGCACTGCTCTTGGCCTAATTCCGAGAAATGTAAACAAACGGACCAGGAGTTTCGGAACCTCCCGCCCGCCATAGGCTTAGGAAGATTTTCTTTGTATATACACATTTGCTAATGCCAATAATGGCACGATATAGGTTCAGAATAGGGCAGTCTGTGATCGCTCACTAATACTGTGAGAATCCGTCTTAAAATCTACCGAGCTCACTGATACAACCAAGCAGGAAGTGTCGCACTCTTCCGAGGTTGGATCCTTGCCAGTGCGTCGCGGGGTTTTTGTACGCCTACAGTCCTCATTGAGCACAAGTCGTTATCTTTACGTCACATCAATTACAACATTCTTGTGACAAGATTTTGAGGGGTTGAGCAAGGTCTACAAAAACAGGTGACTATCCCCGAGAAGTATTGACCAATCACGCAGCAACGTAGGTTTCTGTCTCGGGTATTATGCCAATCCTGATGTCTCCTCCAACAAAGGATCATTATTCCAGTCATACAACATCATGACCCAACTGCGAACATTGTTCCGAGCTTACAGGACTTGCAGAGTCAGTGTTCAACTTCATAACCGAGCTCGTGTGCCGCTTTTGCTGATCCCGCGTATCACCAGTCCCAGAAAGAGTTACTACGTTACCATTTTTCGATCCCGAACCTATGTTGTGTCTGAGGTGAATGGCCATTTTCACGTCATAATGATAGATTAAGAACAATACTACCTATCACTCCCGAATAGTTGCATTTAGTCCGAGCGGAGTCCTTTCGCAAAAGGGTTGAGATCATCTCCTAGCACAGTTCTCCCGAAGAAGAGTACACAGCCGGGAGCAACCCGAATGGTGGGCTTGGGTTCACGAGACAAAGATGTGTCGTTTCGGTCCGGCCCGTCGTCCACTGAACTGAATATACGCGACTATGACGTGATTCTCATGGCCGCATTTTTGTAAACCTATGAGACGTGCAGGTTTCCCGTGGTTGAGCCCAACACACCGCTATAACATCAATGTTTATAAATAATGATTGCATTCCCAACGAGATTCCAGCAATTCTTTTCCACACCAAAGACTTTATCAAATTTCACTTACAACTAAGCTTCATCAAATTCACACTACATCTTCCAAAAATGGCTTCTATCGTCTCCTCCCTCTCCACCTACTACTACTACTACTATTACTACTACTAGTAGTCTGTCCACAAGTATGTTTTATTCTCAACCATCATCTCTTTGGGCTTTGTTGACACAGAACTCAGGTCAATCCAGCAGATCGTGGTCTATTTTCACTGGAATATGGAGTAACTAGCCAACCAAACCAATTACTTTGTCTTGGTACAGGTTTTTCCCCGATGGACCGTCAGATCGGGTTTTCCTATGCCGTTTTGCGAATGCAGAGACACCAAAATAAACTTATGTTGAACTTCTAAAAGACTCCAGTGGATGTACCGGCAATCATGTCTCGTGAATGTGTCGAGACCTGGTGATACGTAAACTTGGTAATATCGTACACACACATGGTTGATACTCACCAACCTCCCGAATGCAGCTTCTTGCATGGGGGCGATTTCCCAGTTGTAACATTCAATGAGCGTTTCACCACGGTGGATACTCCAATGGCTTCGTAGAATGTCCCGTTGTGATTTATCATGGTCTCCAGTCTCCCCTCCCTTGCCAGCCTGGGTGCCAAAATATCTAGGTTCAGTGCTACCGGCCTCATTCCAGTCCCGCCCACCATCTTCCACGCTGGACTGTATTCAATTTTTAACGCCGAGAATAATGTAGCTCTACTTTTCATACATCTGAATTTTCTCGCCTAGTCGCAGGGCATCGTTTGGGCGATATGCCACTGGCTTGGTATGGATTTGGTGTCAACTCTCCGTTCCAAGATGCGCCTAATTGTCGTGATCAACGGACGAGCTGCAAAAAGTTTAAAGTTCTCAAATCCACCTTACGGAACCATAGAATAAATACTGCATAAATCATATGTTTATTGAGTCAATCCACTAAGCTAGTGCAAATTCCGCTGTCGTAGGATCGTGGATACCAAAGGACCTTCTTCCTTCTCACTTCACCGTCTCATATCCTGCACAAACAGCGCCACACGATTTGAACGGGACTGTTGGCCATTGTTAATACTCATTCAGATTTTAGAACCGAGCGCCCAAATTGTCAATTTGGCCTACAACTGATCGAGGCTTGTGTACCTTTATTCGTAAAGACGGCCAGCATATAGCTTCGCCCAGTCACTGAGGACGTAAGCGCAGCCGGTTGAATCTGAAACAGACACGCCGCTACCAGTGCAGTCGGGAGTAGGATCAGTGAATCCGGCAACTATAGTAAAGCAAGTGTCCTTCGTTAGTAAGTGATTTTAAAGAGTCGAAGCCTTCTTCAATCCTATAACCACCCTAGGAACATAGAAGGTGACAGGCTTTATAACATTTAAGATGGAAACTTACGCTTGTAAGACTTGTCGATGTCGCGGTAGGAAGTCCATTTGACGGAACTGAAGCCCGAGTCACCGAACTGAATGCAGTCCTCGCGAGTCAAGACGTCGATAGTCTTAATCGCGGCTCCGGTGCAGTGGGCAGTGTTGAAAATCTCAACTTTTCCAATCGGCTCTGCGCGAATGGACTCTAGAGCAGCAGCTGAGACGCAGCTGACAAAACCCAAAACGGGGGCAAGGAACTTGGCGAAGATCATGATGTATGATTGTAGTTCAAGACAATGAATGTGTTTGATTGTTCTCCTTGATATTCCTTTCTCGATGGACGATTCAACACCGGGACCGTCTCTGGGTTTATATAACGACCTATATTAGTAGAAGAACAAATCAAGTTCCACATTGGTCATTATCTAATGAGCATGATAAATCAAATTGTATGTATTGCCGTTTTCTGTGAGGCGGCCGCCTAATAGAAAGAGGCTGTGCGAAATGCATACCATGCCTCGAGGCTCAAGTGAGTTGCCCTTTGTAGTTCAAGAATCCGCCAAGTTGAGCGAGCGTGTGATTGGCTTAGATACGACCAAGCCGGGGTTAGAAGTCACCTCGGCTGCGACGTTGGACAACTGCCCGAGTCTTACTCAGATCTCACTATTGCCACCTTCCAACTCAAAGCTAGACCACAAAGAGAAGGAATCAATTCTTTTGCATCAACGCATCGAAACAAGGCGAAACACGAAGCCGAGGGGAACTTCTCGTGGAATAATTGGAGTGTATGATATGTTATGATCATGTAAGATTCTTCAGAACTGTATTCAGTGATATCAAGAAGATGTATTCTCGGAAGCTTCAATATGTTCTTCCCTGGTTCTTTTTTGGGAATGGCCTAAGCTCCCTATCTGTTTACCTTATGTTGCGGATCAAACTCCATCAGCTACAGGGAGCGATGGGAGGTATAACGGCAGGTAAGACGGAGCAGGCCGGGGAACTGTTCTGGCAGGTGAGCGGCTGCCGTTACCCTTTCCGGTACATTTGACGAGTTTATTTCGTAATTTCGCGGTGATTTTAGCTAAACCGAGGAGTTAGTTCCCGATTGTGAAACTCAACTGCCGGTTTCTTAAGCCCATCTACTAAAAGAGAAGCTGCGGTCTTCCCTTGAGTGTCGAACACCCATGAACAATCAACAGCTTTGCAGGGATTATCAATTGTTGGGGAACATCATCTTCATGCTTTCCCGCTTAGTCAGAGTATATTTTGTAACTTTTATTCAGGAAGCCAACCAACAGTTTTGTTGAATCCTGTTTTATATAGATTACAGTTGAAACAAGAGGCATAATTGCGAGAGAGAGTTATGTGCGAATCAATGCAAACCTCCTTTCAGAGATTAAAGCCGCCAGTTGTTATACCTCGCATACCATTCGACGCACTATTACACCCCCTTTCACAATTCCATGGGTTGTTCCAATAGAGAAGTTATGCTTGGTTTAGACCCCTGGCCAAGCGCGGCATAGCAACTGCCGGAACCGTCCGACATGTCAGCATTGAGATTTGGCGCTTCCAGGATGTCGTTATCACTCGGCCAGTTAGTCAACTACTTATCCCTGGCAACTTCTTGCTGACGACAACAATGAATCGCCTTCCATTTCGACCTTGTTCTATCCCGTGAAAAAGCAAACACCAAACAGACATTGAAATAGACTTATCGCACTTGTGGCTCTCTAGTAATCACTTCGCTACATGTAAGTATCGAACATCAGGACAGTCTTGATACTAGCCATGGTCTTTCATATGGACAAATGCTCCTGATACGATTTTCCGGCCAATTCCCATACACATATGATAGCAATAGCCTAGTAGGCCAGGCACCGCAACACTACTACTATTCCTCCTATATCAGCGGATTTGCGCTAGCAACCTTCATCTTTGGCAGTGCCCCGAACTCCGCGGTCTCTTGAAACATCTCAAATAGACTCTCCAATGTATCAACGAATCCATTGAAGCCGAAACGCCGCTCTTTGTTCATCGACAAATTCGCGCGTCGTGCGTAGTCAAACTCCGAAATAACCGTTTCCATGGCTGGATCGTCGAATACATTGACTTTGACCTGACCAGCCGATTCAGCCATGATTTTCTCCCAAGCTACACGGTTCTCGGGTTGCTTGAACCATTCAGCGATGCGGAACTTGATTTTAAGAGCGGTCGGGGGACCATATCCCAGGGGACTATCCTTGCCACCGGCGAACTCGATGATCTTGAACTTGGATACGTCGTGATCAGGATTGACCACGCCACTCTCTACGCCGTACCAACGAACCAACTCGTTGAAGAAGCGGTCCCAAGTGATAGTAGCGCCATCCTGTTGGTTAAAAGCATGGTTTTTGCACTTTTCTTCCAACACCGCCCATTCACTTAGATAACCCCCTAGACGGGCAGTGGAATGCGAATACTCAAATTGCCACGATTCAAAGTCTCCCCCGAAGTGCAGAGGCTCACCCTTTTGGGCTTGGACGGCAGCGTAGATCGCGAAGGGGTAGAACGCATTTAGGGGAGCACGCTGAGCGACGCCAATAACACCAACTGGACGAACCACATTCCATCCCGTTTGAGGGTGCTTCTTGCAGTACTCGAAAAGAAGGTCTTCTTGAGAGTAATAAAAGTTTGTCTGGAGGTGACGAGGTTTCGGGTCAGATTCCACCAGCGGTGCTCGACAACGGCCGATGTGAACGCCATAATTCTTCCCACCCGTCTGCAGCAGAATTCGTTTTGGTTCGAGGTTCGCAAGCTCCAAACTGTCGAGAAAGTTTTTTAACATGGGCACATTGATGTCGGCCAACGCATCAGCCATCTTCGTACTCATGCCCGAGTCACCCGTCTTAGGCTGTAGATAGGCATAGAAGAAGACATAATCAGCCTTGACACCAGCCTTCTGGAGGGTATCGGCAATCTCGCGGCTAGGGCCGGTTAGATCAACAGAAACCTCTTTGATATGAGAGCGAAGTGACTCGGGAATCAGAGCCAGCTGCTCCGAAGAGAGGCCGCTCCGCGATAAAGAATAGATATTGGACCATCGCTCAGGGGCATCCAGAAGAGCACGCAGGGTTGCAAATCCAGAGATACCGTTGGAACCGGTGATGATAGCATTGAGGTTACGGATGGAGGAGTCAAAGTTGGGCAGGTTGCGGTAGATGCCGCACTGCCGTAAGGGATAGTCGGCAGAGCTCATATTAGATAGGATGAAGTTGGATATAACGAGGAGCAATGCCAATTTGAACAGAGACAGTAGTAAAAAATATCGCGCACCCGTGTCCAGCACTGCAATCAGAGTGGAGAGACTCATTGATGCATCGTGGCCTGAGCACTGTGGATCGTCTGCATAATGAGTGGTTCAGGATCGATTTAAAGATATTCATTGGACCATACTCGAGGCAGCTTGAGATATGGGGGCTAAAGCTGCACCACCATCGGTAGCAGTATTTGCTGGCAATCATAGTGATAGACCTAGATCACGGACTCACTCCACAGGAGATACCAAGAGTGGCGAAAGTCCTGCTCATCTAACGGCCAACTTATCGTTCTCGAATATGATTTGTTAGCCATTACTCCAGCCAGAATTCTGACGGCAACCTTCTATGATTGTATTCCCTTTTGTTAGCCTTCGTTTATCTAGAACTTAACGACAACGACCGAGTCCAGTCCAATACCCGTGTGGTAGTGGGTTAGACAAATGCCAAGGCAGCCCACAACTGGGAGCACGGCTGTACGGGAATCCGGCAATTGGATTTCAGCATCGCTACGAAGGAAAACGCTTCAACAATCAGAGGGAAACTACATAGTATTAACAGCGTAAATGTCCATCTTTGGCCTCTTGACTCATCGGAAGGAAGACATATGTTCTTAATTATGATACTCAGCATGATCTACAACGCTATCTCAGCCACCCGCTCAGTGTGGAGTCGATCTCGCAGGATGAGACGAGAATAACAGCAAAGATCTACCAGTGACGATTTTGTAAGGGCGAAGTCGAGCATTTCCTAGAAGTGTACGCTTTACTTCTTTAACTTCCTAGCGCCCCTGAAAGAGTAAGCTATCACGATGAATATTATAACACTAATAGCAAAGTTAAACTACTTCGTAGCTCTTAATCCTCTTAATAGATTCTCAGAATAGGGCTCAAGGATGCTGTTATATCTACTATTATTATTCGTCACAGCAATTTAGATAGCAGCTTCCACAGCTAAAGGTGAGTGCAATACAATGTATTGGCCATTATTGGAGATATAGAGACGTATCCTAAACGAATATGCGGCCTTACTACTCCTTGTTCTTTAAAAAAAGTTGGCGCACAGCTCTTCTTGACGATGACTGAAATAGTGTCGGTCGGCTGGGACTATCTGTGGATAATTCACGAGGAGTAGGTGCTAGGTGTCGCCAGTCGTCCGAACTCGGGGTTTGCTGGCCATCTGCCTTTTGCAATGAGAGCCCCGTCAAATCTTCGACGTACTTGATGTCGTCAAGGGAGATCAAGTACATCGGGGAAGCAATCTTGATGCCGTTCGTCTTGTGTAGGCGGAGTTTGCCGTCCTTGACACCGAGGAACTGAGCTTCGGTTGTAAACGACAGACTTCTATCCGTCCAGGTTCGCACTTTGCTCGGATCAGGCATGTCTCTCTCGGAAACCGTGATGCTAGTGTCTTCGTCGGTGTCAGCGTGGACCTCGAGCCCTTCAATCGAAAGAGGGAGAGCTTCTCGAGCGAGCTCTTGTAGATGTTTCTCTACATGAGACTTGAAATGCTTCCTGCTATCCGTCTGTTTCCAATCACAAAATCGGCACGAGGACTGGTCAAAGTCGGTGAGTGGCTGCTCACCCGCCTTGACCATGATGCTCCTTTGAGCCGGGGCCACTGTCTCCGAATGATTGGAAGAAAAGTGCGCTTCTAACGAGCGAGCTGTTGGCAACTTGTCGTTGCAGAGGTTGCACCTCCATTGGCGTCGATGATTATCCATTTCGTGTTTGAACCACTCGCCAGATGATGCAAACGGTGTCGCGGCGCAACCTTCAAAAGTACAGACGTAGAGTTGCAAATCGCTGTATACGTGACTCCTATTCTTGTTTTTAGCCACCGTCTCATCAAGAAGCCGCAGACTCCAACAAGGACATACTTCCACTCCGTCCTGTCTTTGAACTGCTGTATCGTGCGGCAGTAGGGGCATTCTATGTGGCTTCCGTACTGGAGCTGGACTCCGTCAAGCGACATGTCTGCCAAGTCTGGAATTCTCCGCCCAGACCCAAAGACAGACATGGCTGTCGTGGCAAAGGAGGTCGCTGCGCTGACCAAGCTCCGAGTTGTAGCATCCTGTATATCTTCTCCGCACGGCTCTTCCGTAGCGGTGCCGGCCTCGTGAAAAGAAGTCGCCTTTGTTGTAGCTTGACCCGAGATGAGAACGGACTGGCTATCCGGTCCCAGCACTTCCCGCGCCTTGGCCAATTTCCTGCGATGTGTTTGCCGGTAGCGAATATAGTCGCGCCTCTTGGTGATCCATGTGCCCAGTCGGTCTGCAAGCCAAGGGGTCTCTCTGAGCTTTGGGAACTTGTCCTTGATGTGAATAATATCGGGGTCTGGATTACTGAAAGGACACTCAGTACCGTGTGGATGGGTTCGTCCTCGGGGGCGATCTCTCCGAAGAAGCATCGAGAGTGTGAAGAGGTGAGTGATGCATGACTGGATGTTCAACACTAGTTCGTTGATTTCCGTAGTCGTAGTCCCTTGTGCTGCAGTATGGAGATTGGTAGCCCCATCAGCCGTTTCAGCAGGCTGGGATACATTTTGCTTTGGTAGCGGAAGGACAGGAGCAGCTCTATTTTCCCTGAATTCAGAGGCAATCAGGATAACTAGCAGTTCACCCAAATCAGTATCCAACTCCGGGATGTGTCTGTCTCTGCACGCCTACTTCTTTGCAAGGCATCAGCTAGGCGCCTCAAACTCGACTCTATATTCGCGCGCATTAGCTCCGAGGCCTTGATCCTTGCATCGAGTGACCCAGACGACTGTGGGCTTTTGAAAGCGCCAATGTTCTGAGCCCATACCCCAAATCTCGCCGACTCATCATCAAGCGAGATCTCCAGTGTTGAATAAGGTGAGGCTGGGAGGATTTGGGAGATGTCGACGAAGGCCTTCTCGCATGTATAGGATAATTCACAAATGGATGTCGGCCCGTCGAGGTTTGATGCCTCATCCAACGATGCTGAACGTATAGCATCGGGAGCCTCCATCGTGAAAACCCAGTTTTTCGTGGGAAGGGAAAATGGCTACAAGGTAAATTTCAATTCTAGCCGGGTCCATCAAGCTACCCCTCTGCTGAAGCCAATATTGGGCTTGATAGATGGCCATCTAGCCAATCAAAGGATACTTAGTCTGCGGGGTTGATACCTAGCTGAGCCATCTGCCTTGCCATCTGCCTTGCTTACCATTCCAAGCGAACCAAGTCAGGCAGATGTATGACAAGTGCCTCAAATATCCTCGGTCCATGAGATTGAGTGGCAGATTCTCAAATTATCAAGGCCTGCATCTCGTCAACACGCGCGACAGAAAGTGGAAATGTCCGGCATAGAGGTTGCCGGGCTGGTGCTGGGGGCCTTCCCCATCGTATGCGGCGCTGCCAAGGGGTTGAAGCCCGTCTTCTGCAACGCTAGGTCATGGTGGAGGTTTGAAACGTCGTTTGAGATGTTCGCAGCTGCCATTTCGACGCAGGAGATTGCGTACCGTCAAGTTCTGAAGCGGCTCGTCGAGCCCTTGGATATATCCGACGCCGAGTATGAGAGCCTCGTGACGGACCCAAACTCGCCATTGTGGCACGAACGACATGTTCGAGCCGAGCTGTTGCAGAGGCTGCCAGGGGAGGAGCACTATTGGTTTATGGAGAACTTGACGAGTCTGAAAACTTCAGTATTTGAGCTGCAGAAATTGCTCCCTCTGGATAAGGTTCGTTATTTCCTCAATCTGCTATGAGCTTAAAAGATGGGAGTTGCCGGCTGCTGGAACAAGGCCTGACTTGGACTTTCACAGATCCAGCAAATTGATTCAAAGAGCCTGGAGAGTGAGTTGTGGAGACTTCAGACAAGCTTCAGCAACGAAAAGGATCGACTTCTAGCTCGAATCACAGCCGTCAATGACGATCTGCACATGTATCTAGACAGGGTCCCCGATGTATCGGCCCAATCATCCTCCAAGGCGATGCCCTTTAAAGAGCTGCAGACACAGGCCTGTGACATCTACGAATGCCTAGCAGCGCTCTGGCAGTGCAGCTGCATAGACCAGCACACCCTGGGGATGACGGTTCATTCGGGGCTCAAGGCTTGCCAGGCTGCTTGTAAACAGAGCGCGCTGAATATGCTCTTTGAGAGCCAGTCGCACATAAAGCAGTTGAGGATCCGCATTGAACAAAGTTCCGACAATGCGGGAGTTAAAGACGTTGTCCCGAAGTTGGACTTGGAGGCAACGACAGCGTTCAAAAGGGAGATGATGGTGAGGAGACATCAGAAAGAAGCCTTGGCGGCCATGTCTGAGGACGGAATATCTGCTTTAGCCATCTCCTCTTTACCCACGAGCAAGCCCTTGGTGCCCCCAACTGTGCAGCGTAGCTCGATACTGAAACGAGCGAAGAAGAAACTAAAAGGATTTTCTGTGCTCAGATACGGCACCGGTAAACCTCAGAGTCAGACGTCAGCCCCGTCCGCATCGAATGCTTGGGTCCTTTCCGCTGCAAACTCCACGGCACCAACCTCGCATACGGAAGACTCTTCTGTGTCTTCTGGATCACTCAATAATAGGTTTGTCCTCTTGCGCTCGTATCGGTAATGAGAAAACTAACCAAATTACTAGCATACAAATCGAAGGCAACACACCTTCAAAGAAGTTGCAAGTACGATTCGCCGAGGACGACGACACGCCATCATCCCCATCAAACGACACGATGACACAAAGTTCGGTGAATATCTGTCAGTTCGCTGTGAATGGCGCCACGAGTGGGACAAACAATTTCGTCTCATGGAGCACGAAGAAGAACAAGGTGACTATCGAGCATACGCCGCCTGACCAAACACCTCTCCAGGCTCCAGAGATGCTCCATCTCGACGCCCTGATCGGACGGATGCCGCGACGCCTGGATCGGCTGTGCGTAGGCATGCAGTTCATGTTGACATTTCTGAGCTTGGTTCACTCGGCGTGGGTCCCCGCGTCGCTTAGCAAGAGTGACATGCTCCTCTTATGCGAGCAAGGGGCAGGAAGCGGACAGAAACTAGGGAAAGTGGTCGGGCCATACTTTCTATGCACCTCACAGGCAATGAAAGAGTCCATCTCGAAGACATGGCACGCCAAGTCGTCTCTCCTGCTACTAGGCGTCATCCTGCTGGAGCTGTTCCACGGTCAGAGGCTGGAAGAGCAGGAGTGTTGGGAGGCATGCTTGGTCGAAGGGGAGCCGAATGAGAGCACCTTGATTTGCAGCGCATACTTGTGGACGGTGCAGGGCCAAGAGACGCTGGAAAAGTTCTTTGGCAAGGAGGTGGGGGGTGGTTTGTCCGAGGCGATCCGGAAATGTGTCTGCTTCGAGTTTGGGTACAACCAAGACTTTGGGGATCCAAAGCTGGTGAATCTGGTTTATAGGGAGGTTGTGGTGCCCCTGCAGAAGTGCTGCCCAACATATGTCTTATAACTGATTATTTGCACATACTACCGCCTGGGGTGAGGGGTGGCAGAGTATACAGATGTATATCTTTGCTGTTTCTGCTTATACCCAAGCGGAAATTTTAGGAGATAGATACATGTATACTGCTATTTAAAACCCCGGACCAAAAACCGTGGCCAGACTCCTAAGACCGAGAACAAATAGGGAATTCATTGACAAGCGATTTATATGTTAGTCTTGCACGGTATAAGGACCCCATTGTGCTTTAGCAGCAGCCAAGTCCACCTTTGACGCGACCTGGCGGATTCTCTCGGTGCGAGCGACAAGCTCTGCCTTTAATGCCGGCCAATCAATACCAACCAGCTGACCGTTCTCCTTGACAACCCGCCCATCTATAATCACAGTGTCGATGTTGGACGTGGACGAGTGGAAGACGACGGTGCCCGCGGGGTCGATGACGGGCACGGTGCCAATATCATCGCATCGAAAGATGTTTAAGTCCGCCTTCTTGCCGACGGTGACGGAGCCGGCGAGGTGTCCCAGCCCCATGACCTCAGCGCCGCCCATGGTGCTCATCCGGAGCACCTCTGCTGTCTTCCGCTTAATAGAGAGGGGGAAGGCAATCTCGTTCTCTTGGGCCCGCTGCACCTGTAGCGCCAGCCTCATCTGCGCGACAAAGCTGTTGCCCTGGTTGGACGTGATGTCAACGCCGAGGCACGCCTTGCAACCCCTATCGGTGGCACGGAATACGGCGGGGAAGCCCATGCCCATCTGCAGCTCCGTGTCAGGCGTGCTCACGAGGCCGGCCCCCGTGGACGAGATGGCCTTGAACTCGCCCTCTGTAAGGGAGGCGCCGTGACTGAAGGCGAGGTCAGGTCCCAGCAGGTCCCTGTCCGCGAGCTGCTGGACGATGTGGTTGTGCGTCGTGTCGTACGGACCCAGGGCAACGTGCATGGTGATAAGCCTGGCCCCTATCTCGCGGGCTGCCACGACCTGGTCCACCGTCTCCTGTATGGGTTGGTAGTCCGGCTCGGTCGGCGCGAGGCCAAACGTGACGCGCTCCTTGGCCGGGTCGTTGGTCTGGAAATGCGTGTTCCTGACCCGGCGGGCGTCCGCGAGCCGCTCGGCGAGGCTGAAGCTCTGCTTATCTGCGTCTGGGGCGCCGCTGATGGGTGGGTTCTCGTAGAGCCCGTAGCAGAAACATGCGCGGATCCCGGAGTCCTTCAGGCCCTTGATAGACGCATCAGCATGCTGCGGCGTGTTCATAATATGGCCGTGCTCTAGGACGCTCGTGATACCGTTATTAATCATATCCAGCGCGGCGACATAGTAGGCGAACCCGGCATCCTCGGCCGTGTAGACGCTCCCGTAGACGCTGCGGATATTGATAGCATAGTCGAACAGGGACCAGTCAACTGCAACGCCTCGAATAAGCTGCTGCCACATGTGGTGGTGACCGTCGACGAACCCAGGTGTAACGATGGCATCGGGGATATCGATAACCTTTATGTCCCCATCCGAGGGGGCAGGCAGGTTTTGCCCAATAGCCTTGACGGTTTGGCCCTTGATCAAGATATCACAGTTGCTCAGCATACCCAGTTCTGGGTCCATGGTGAGCACGGTGGCATCTTTGATCAAGGTGTATGCGTGTTCGGTCTTCATAGTGGGCATGGCAAGACGGGAGTGATGTAAAGAAACAGAGGGCGTCGAGGTGAGGTGAAGCATCTACTTATCGATGCTATTTACCAGCATCTTTAGTACACCAACAAGAGCTCTTCGGGCCGGGAAAAGGAGCCCAAAATGGTTATCTTGCACGCATCTGTATGGCATGTACTACCGTAAACCCTTGTCATTTCCATTAGCAAGTGGGGGATCTTCGCTAGCAATTTGGCCACAACAGGCAGAGAACTGCGAGTAGTGAGGGGCTCCCGTCAGCTGAGCCCCGTCTGTCCGGGACCTGGCTAACCAAGTCAGATTCCTTCAGGGCCAAGCAAAGACGTTGCTATTGATACTTTCGTATCAGAATCATAGAGCTTCAATGGATAACATTCACATTGGCGAAACTAGAGATGCCCGTGTTGATCAGTTGGGAAATTGCGCAGGGAGGGAACTCCGTCTCGAAAAAAGGCGGGATTAGTCAGTACTAGGGGGCGTGATCGGGCTGGTATTCGGCCAGTTTCATCCTTAAGCTGGCCTTCAAGTATTCATATCCGGACCTGATTACGACTGCAGTGCAGTCAAGAATGTGCTTTGGTCGAGTTTACCGTTATGAATACTAGGCATAGGTTTCTTCTCATTCTTTATCTCATAATCATGAGCTGCGTCCACAGCGAGGGGCTCTCGTTGTTTCTGAACCTAGCAAACCCCTTTTTGAGGGAGGTAGATACTAATAAATGTCTCTCTGGACTGCACAGGCAGGGCATATCATGGGCAGATGGAGCCCTCCGGCTGGTGATGGTGTACTAGGAGTAATCAGTTCCCGCCAAATAATGGATATCATGTAGCCTAAGACGAGAGTCACGCCTCTAATTCTAGAATGCGATGATCTCGACTGGTCGAGGCTCAAGTGGTGAATGGGGTTGAAAAGTGGTTCAAGAACAGGCATGGCAAAGGGATAACTTCTAGTATTGTCACCACGAGATTTTGAGCTAGACGCTCCGCATTTTACCATCCAAACACTTGCCATGATTGTCATGCGACTTATAGAAGCGTTGAGTTGAGATCACTGCGATAATTATGCTGGGGCCCCAAAAGCGACGGTATCATCTAATGCAAGGTCCGCCGTTGCTTGAAGATCAGCACGCCTCCAGCCTCTAAGCAGATCTTCTTGGGTAGGATGCTATTATTGAATAGTCTCGAATTATATGCTTATGGTTTCGGGCATTCCGATATGGACTGAATTGTTAACAAACCAGATAAGTAGATGCAGGTTATGGAAGGGTTAGGCGCGTTATCCCGATCCTCGCTGAAGACCGATACCGGCGATATTCCCCATCAAGGACAAGGAGCATCCATCTCGTAGGGGCAACATTGCCACGCGTCGCCGCCATACTGAATGGAATGTTACATGCAGGACCGTGGTTCTAGACACCAGGAACTTAACGTTTAGCATGCGTTTTAGTGCCCAACGCGAAGCATTGGGGGCCAAACACATCAGGTGAGTGGAAAACGCTTGGGCACAAGATGAATTTTGTAGTTGACTGAGATCGTCCACCTGTTACGGCTGGCAACTAATCGACTCTTCGTTAAACCGATTTTCTTCATTTCCATGAATGTAGAAGGACAAGGAGGCTTGGGGGCTTGATGAAACCTACCTTATTAGTCACAGTCGTTGAAGTTTTGCGAAAGCGTGTCAAGTGCGTCCGAGAACAAGCCCTAGCCTTTCATGCATGGATACGGTATCCGCGGCCTTCATCCGATGACTGGTACATATGCAGCTTACGATCGATCACGCCTCGGCTAATGCCGCTAATTGTTCCATATTTACCTTATCCACTACCAAGATCTCCTACGTGCTCATTCCAAGGCAACTCAAGACATTTCCATTAGTGACTTGATAGTATCTGTTGAATCTCGAAACTCTCTGTTCTGTATAAGTCACACCAATGTAGTGGCTTGACATCTTTTCATCACATACGACCAGAGGACCTCGAGGCTTCTGACTAGAGGCAATGGATTCATATTCAAGGTCGTTCACGTAGAACCACATATTGCAGCGATTAGTTGACGGAGCGGCGTACAGTCCCCATATTTGTTGGATGACCGAAAAGTCATGAATTTTAACCTTCCTAATCTGTCTTTATTTCATTTATGCATGAGCGGGATGGTGCGTGTTTATTCTGATCAAGATTTTCAGCAAGGACCACAAAAACAATAGCACCAGGCCACAAGAAGTTGATGAACCGATGAATGAGACAGTTCTCGAGCACAGCGGCAACAACATGCCGATTTATGGTATGATTAGGACTAGAACCTAGTTGCCCAGGGCTTACCATGGTGATGCCAAGAGTCCTCGAAAGCCATGTGGCAGTATGAGGCTTTTCTTGAATCACCCATTGGGCTACCTGGAAATGCTAGACTGGAGCAAGCCAAGAGCCAATCTAACCCTCCTCAAGGATGTAAAGGTCGTATCCGATATTGATTGGGTAATGAACTGCAGCCAAAGCAACCTAGCCAGGATCCGTTGTGGAAACGACCCCCATCTGATCCCTATCCACTACCAGTAGCATCTTATCTGATGATCTGATAAAAATTTTCATTTGGGACGGTCCGCAAACCATCCGGAGGATAACGCCCAAAAGTGACAGGACGTGACAGGCAAGGGTGGCGAGCAAGCCATCAAGAGCAGAGGGCTGAAGGAGTGAGTTCGTTCCCTCACCTTGATGGATCTTTCAGGTGTTTGTTGCAGCTGTTTCTCCATTCTTGATCCACAGCCATCCCCTGTTGTCGCCACTTTGAAGGGCGAGGCCGCGAGGGACAGTGTATCTGTCCGTTCTCTCTAGCTTTGCAAGGGCTTACTTTCCTGTCCACTTATTAGGAATCTTTGTCGGACCCCATCACACCCTCCTTGATCAATCAAAGGGTGGAAAACCCCGCCGCTCCTCTCACCTGTCCAAAATTCTCGACTCCCACACCTAGCCCTGCTGGACCCTCCGCGGACCGAATGGGCCAACCGACCGTTCATGCATGCATGAAGCCACCGGAATAGCAAAAAGGGCCGTAGCTCCTTGTGAAGCGAAATGCGGATGCCATTGAGTGGGCCATGGCCTGGCACTCGGGAGGCCTACAACGGATATAATGCTCACTGCCCGTCGGTTCAACGCTGATCGATCCTGGCCTTCACTCCCTCTAATAGCTGTGCTCGCAACACAAAGGGTAGCCTTTTTGCAAAGAGAACACGACCCTCCACCATGGCTGCAGCTATCAACACAACTGGGCGCGCCTCGCTCGAGCAGGACCCTGAGAAGCACAGTCCTGTTGTGCAAACAAATGCCCTTCCTGCAGATACCCTCAGGGACTCGGACGAGGAGTCCGACGTCAAACAGGATGGTGTCAAGAATGCCGAAGCTATCACGTCCCTTTGGCCCCGTAACATGCTATGGGTGATTTTCGTTCTGTGAGTTCGTTCTTTTGGCTTCAGGCTCCTTTCAAAACTAGATGTCAATCTTTCGGTAATGAAAATTGAGTGCTAACAAGCAGCTCCTCTCAGGCTCTGGCTCGTTTCCTTTTCCATGGCCCTGCTCGGTAGCGTTGATGGAGCACTCTCACCTTACGTGACTTCATCATTCTCCCAGCACGGCCTTCTAGGCGTCATCAGTATCGTATCGCGAATCATCGGCGGTGTCGTTACTCTCGCCATTGCCAAGACGATTGATATCCGTGGCCGCCTCGAGGGTTTCATCGGCGCAGTCGTCCTGGTTGTTATCGGCGCGATCATGAAGGCTGCCTGCCAAAACGTAACCACATACGCTGCTGCTGCCGTCTTCACTTGGGTTGGCAACGTTGCTGTCGGTTTCATCATCGACATCTTCGTTGCGGATATCACCACTCTGAGAAACCGAATGATAATCTTCACTCTCAACTCGACGCCACACATCATTACTACATTTGCCGGTGCCAAGATTGCTGAGCTCTTCTACAAGTACCACAACTTCAGACTTGCCTTTATCGCCTGTGCCATCATCTTTGTTGGCCTGTCTCTTCCCGTCATCGCCATCATGTGGTACTACGAACGAGAGGCGAAGAAGGCCGGTTTGATCCGCGAGAAGTCTGGCCGCACCACCTTTGAAAGCCTAAAGTACTATTGGGTCCAATTTGATTGTATGTTATCATTCCATTCTTCTCTAAAGCCAGGTAGTTGCTAACCAACGACAGTCATCGGCATGATCCTCATTATTGCCGGCTTCGCTCTCCTACTTCTGCCATTCAGTTTGGTTAGAACTATTGGAGGGGGTTGGACCGCCCCCACGGTCATCGTCATGATTGTCCTTGGCGTCGTGATCCTCGCTTGCTTCGTTGCGTGGGAGAAGTTCTTCGCCCCCGTCATGTTCTTCCCCTTCCATCTGCTCAGGGACCGCACCATCTTGGGTGCTGCGCTTGCCTACTTCGTCATGTTCCTTTCCACCTTGTAAGTTTATTTTCGTTGGCATCTGGAAGCTTTTTTACTGACTTTTATCTGCAGCATCTGGAACGGATATTACAGCTCTTACCTTCAGGTTGTTCACGGACTCAGCATCAGCATCTCCAACTACGTTCTCAACGCATACTCGCTCACCTCGTACTTCTGCTCGCCATTCATCGCTTGGTAAGCAGCTCTCCTTCTTTTGTCTCGCTACTTTTCTCGAAAGCTAATGAACCTCGTTCTTAGGTATATTCGATGGTCTGGTCAAGTGAAGTGGCCTGCAATGATTGCCGTCCCCATCTACCTGATGTCTACCGCCTTGATCATCTACTTCCGCAAGCCCGATACATCAGTAGGCTACGTCACCATGTGCCAGGTTCTCATCGGTTTCTCTACCGGTATGCTGTCCACCATGTCACAACTTATCCTGATGGCCGCTGCCGGTCACGCGAACGTTGCCGTCGCCATCGCCATCTATGGACTCTTCGGCTCCATCGGCTCTTCTACCGGATACGCCATCGCCGCCGGTCTCTGGACCAAC